GCGAGCAGAAATCCATAGAAACCAAGGTTGTTCTTGGCAGAAATCTGAGCGAAGTTGTTCCAGTGAGCAATCGTGTGGACCCAGGAAAAGAAGACGATGGACCACGCTGTCGTGATGTGGAACGTGATGTTCTTGTCGAATTGGATGATGCCATTCAGAGGCGTTTGGCGGGCAAGCGAGATGAAAGTGCGGCAGACGGGGAACAAGATCAGGGCCACGTCGAAATGCAGAACGAGGGCGGCAGCACGAGCAATCATATATGTCGGACCGAAGACATCGCGGGCGTTTTGCAAGCTGTCTTTCCGTGCATAGTTGATAAAACCAAAGGCGAACACCATGCCGTGAAGCAGCATGAAGACAAACACGAAGCTAGATGTGGTTCAGTTAGTATTTTTCACATGAGCATCGTTTCCGCGAAAAAAAAAAAAAAAATCGAAATCAAAAGAATGACAGAAACCACAGCGCAGGAGACGTACAATCGACGGTAGCCTTCGTTGATCATCCAACGGTCAAACTTTTCGCGGTTCGTCAGTTCCTTCTGCTTCTCCTGGGTCATCTCACCCGAAAGAAGCATCCGTGTTAATGGCGTCCATCGTGACCGCTCTGACTGCTTCTCCCGGTAGCCACCGTCGTAATCGTTGTAGCCCGACATTGTCGCCGGTTGAGATTCGTCGGGTTCTCGTCAGGTGAAACTTGACGGCTGTCCTTCTGAGCAGAGCGTCCCCTTCCTGGTAAAACCCCAAGTAGTCCACGACAGTTAGGTTCCGCTCGGGGAGTCCGTTCGAGTTATTCGTTTGCAGTGTCGATGTGAGCGTATCGAGTATTGTCGTGAGAATGAAGAAGACGAAGAATAAAAGTTGTTCAGAGCCTGCTGAAGAAGATCGACTATTCAGAAAAAGGAGCGTAATCGGCCTGCGGAAGTGAATGTACAATCGATCGATTAAAAATGAACGAATTTCGAGCCTGCGAGGAAGAGAAGGAGCCGCCGAGGAGAAAGTCAGATGTCAGCGGTAGGCAGCAAACGATGCGTCGAACAACAGTCTCTCGCCCTCGAAGATGAAGGGAGGACAGAGACCAACGCAGACAGAAATCGGAAATGGCGATGATGATAAAAGGAAAGAATGGAAAAAGGGAAGAAAAGGGAAAGAAAGCAACGAAAGAGGGGAAGGAATGAGAAAAGACTGGCTTCGGTGTGGATGCGTGCAGAAAGAAAGGAGAGGAGGAACAAGAAGGCAAGACAACAGGTGGCAAGGAAAGAAAAGGAAGGGAAAGAAGACGGGAAGGAAAGAAGAGAATGGGTGGGTAGGGGAGATCGAGGGAGTGTTATGAGGAGTGCCAAGCGTTTGGTGCTTCAGAAACATAAGGTGATTTTTGTTGTATGTCGTAGATCATACCTCGAGACAATGCTTGCACCCGGCGGCTGTTGTGATTGGGGACTGGGATTGGGTGTCTGTGTGAAGACATGCGAGATGAATTTGCCTGAGCCTGGCCACAGCCTTGACCGTGGCTATCAGAGTGACAAGGGCCACACGACAAGGAATACGTCGCTGTTTCTATGTCGTACGATACTCCGTATTGTTGTTTTGGCTTTGCAGTTTTGTGGTTTTGCGACTGGGGTTGTGGTGCTTTGGAAGTGGATATCCTGTCTTAAGCCCCGACAGGGCGTTCGATGCCGTGGTACAAGAAATGGATTGCACTAAGACGGGCGTACCGTTGCACTGTAGGGACCTGAGACGAATAGTTGGCTGCATGGAAGTAAAAAAAAATGTATGAAAAAAGTGATATTTAAAGCAGGAGAAAGACCGAAAAAGTGATAAGAGAGCCGGCTTGTACACCAGTGAGTAAACAAACAGTCAGACAGCAGCCTTGGAATATGCCAAACAGGAGAAGTCGGATGCTATTTTTGTTCACTTGGAATCCCTGTCGTGAAGGCAAAGTGACGAAGAAAAGGGGCATTAGACGGGGTGTGCGCGAAATGGATGCATCGTGAGAAGCAAAAGCACAAGGCTGCAGAGAAGGAGCGAACGCTACCAAAGGATAGCAGAGTGGTGTTTAGTTTCCAGGGGCTCTTGCATATATTTTGGCGCCAGGAAGAGAATTGAAGGCCTGTAAAGAAGGGCCGGGGACGGAAGGAGGGACCGAGTGGAACGAATTAACGCAAAGTTAGAGAAAAGGATCGAGAACAGGAAAGTGCTGTCAAAGAAACACACACACTCATGAAAAGGGGGAAAGAGCAATGCGGCCACAATACTGCTAGCTGTTGTCACGGACGCTGAGGACGAAACAGACACAGCCAAGTTGGAGCTAGGACGGGCTCCATATGATGGGAGTAAGATACGTGCGCGGGTCGTAGGCAAGGAAATTAATGGATTGTAAAGTGAGTGTTCGTAACTCGTTACAGCATCTCAGCACATGGGTACCTCGATTTCGAGAAGAATGGAAATTGTAGATAAGAAACTGGTCTTTTCAAAACAGCATACATTTCCGCGGGCCTTCTTGAGAGACGATAGACTGCACAGCTCTAGGTTTCAAGCTTGTAAGAAGTTTGTTAGGATAAAAGGCTATCTAGTGGGGCAAGCAGCGCCTGGCGGTATTCACAGGACAATCTCACAAGCGGCCAGGTATCTTACAATGTAAAAGTACGTCGTAATACTGGTCGGGCAGTTGAATTGAAGTAAAAGCAGTAATTACGCGTAACTCATATCTAACGCAAAGACCGTTTAAAAGCATCGTGGCCATGACTAACGGTAATAGAATTGTTTGACCAGGGCAATGAAAAGGATGAGGAAAAACACATTGCCATCATCAGTGTTTGGGAAAACCACAGAATCTACAGAAGACGAAGAAGAGGGACAGACGCGCATATAACAGGATTGGCGCGCACCCGGTCGCATAGGTGGGTAATGGCGCCATTTCGACAATGTGAAGCGGCTTGTGAAGCTGTTTGAAGGCCGTGATGTGTGAAAGAAGGCGAATTCGTGAAGGGGGAGTGTAAGTCGTGGCCGGTCAAACGTCTGCTTTTGGCTTCGAAAGTGAAGGAGGCCGTTCCCATTGGTGGGTGAGCCCCACCTGAAGCGTCGCAGGTCGTTTCGTCAGGGGCTTTCTGCGACAGGAGGGGCGGGACACTGGAGGGACGCGAGCCTGGCCAGACCCTGCCAAAATGGCTGGACAGTGACAGGGGTGGGGCCCGCGCAAGCTGGGGGTTAATTACCGGTCGACCACAGCACAACCAAAAAGTGCTGGACAGGACATCTCCGAGCATCGATAAGTTCATCGTGTTTCTCAAATAGTCACAAACGGCCACCACAGTATCGACCATTGGTACTCGTTTTGCACGATCCCTGCAGCTTTTCATGCTGGAGGGCACAGATGAAGGGAGATTTTCGTTCCACAGACACCACCTAGTCGGCGAGAACCAAAGGATCGAGACTCATTGTCCAACTCTGGACCATTTATTGGCCATTGACTTTTTATTGCTCCGACACTTCTCTGCCGTCTTATTTTTAATTTTTTATATGTTATTTATTATTTTATATATCTAGAGCAAGCGATGTCGACTGCGTAGAGTAGTTGTACAAAGTTAACTAGTTTTGTACCCTTTTATCTACGTCTAGTATACACCGCACGAGTGAGCTTAACGAATCGAAATAAAGGCAGAAGGATGGAGAGAAAAACGAATGTTCTTATATCGCATTTACGTATGGCAAGAACACCACTGACTGCAAATTCCATTCTACTAACTCTCTTAAACTTGCCAAGTTCACAGGTTCGCTCTCAGCTCTTGGCATCTTCTCAAGAACACACCCCGGAGGTCGATCTCTAAACATAGAACTGAAAGAGACTGGAAAAGGAGGTGCGCCTCCTTTTTGATGTTTGTTTTGGCCGCAAAGCCACGGAAACAATCCTATACCCCTATTGTGTCCTGGCTTTTTGGGAATACCCATGCTTGTTTTGACAGCAATTCTACGGAGTACTTGTGGTGACGATTCCTTGCTGGACGGCAACAATCAGCCACAGTTTGTATTTTCAAGTGACATTTGAGGCTAGGTAATGAACGTCGACGTGACTCCTTGTATTGTCCTCCTTGCGTCGTACTATGTAAAGTATGGCAAACGTGACGTCTGTGAAGGCATGGCACAGCACTGGCTGTGCTAATCATGGATGAGATGCGTAAATTATTGTGTAACCTGCGGTAAATACGATGTTCAAGGGAATCGTGTATATGGAACGAAAGTGTTGATAATCTACGGATTGAATCTACGGATTGACATTGCTACACATAGAACAATGATACCCAATTAATGTTACGATTCACTCCCAGACCAATACTCATATCAGATTATCTAAATTGCTTTATTTTGAGACATTGTCTATCACGAAGAAGCAACGTGCAGTCGATATTTGCAGCAACGGGGAAGGAAATAAGAGAAATGGGTCGGAACGTATAATATACGCCCTTCAAACGTATGAATGCAATATCGAATTACACACACGATAGTAAAGAACCAAAAGCAACCCGGCGCACAAAGACAAGGAATGAGAAATTTGTAGGTGAAGGTGTATGAATGAATGCTAACTGCGTGTGACAATGCAATAATCGAGTAGTAGTATTTATGAAAAGGAAGTAAATTGGGAAGCGTCGCGTTGTGCATTCATGGTATCGTCGTCTGTCCGTCGTCTCGCCTTAGATACCTGTTCCCCAGCCATCTCCTAGTAATTCGTACCCTTTGCTCTTCCTGTTGCCGCCCATCGTGAAGCTGGTATCGAAAGTAACAGCAGTCTCCAAATCCGAATCATGGCGTGCGCAACAATCCCGGGATGATGATATATAAGAAACTCTTGTCACAGGAAACAGAGCCAGAGAAGCTCTCGCATCGCTTCGCCTTTCATCTTCTTGCTATCGCATGGTTGTGACTCGCATACTCCGATGCACCCAGAGATCGTTCTCGGCGTAGGTCGGACGGGTCGTCTAAGAAACAGTAGGGAAGAGGTCTCTGCGTCTAGATGGCGTATTTACGGGTCCACTCGCGCGCGGTCGCCTCGTACTTCGCCCGGTCAGTCTTGTACACGTGAGCAATCTCAGGCACAAGCGGGTCATCCGGGTTCGGGTCCGTCAGCATAGAGCAGATGGACAGCAGAACTGCATTGTCGTTAGCCATCTGTCTAGAGAGAGCATAGAAACGATGTGAAAAAGCTGGGTCGGTGGGGCGTACCTTTTGAGATGGTCAAGGCCGGGCTCCACTGGTCACGCAGAATGTCCAAGCAGATGCTGCCGTTAGAGTTGATGTTCGGGTGGTAGATGCGAGTTGTGAAGTTGACCTTGGGAGGCTTGAAAGGGTAGTCTGTGGGGAAGTGGATGGCGAGGAAGAAGACACCGCCGGAGTAAGGAGAGTCACCCTGTCGCATGCTTGTTAGTACTCTGATTCGTTCTGACGATGTTCAAAGTTGGCGACAGCCAGGGAGAGGTCGGCGTCTGCAGCACGTCGTATTTATTGATGCGGGGGTCAAACTCCTCCGTCGTCACATATGCCACGACCCAGACAGCTATGCTCCAAACTGCCGGCTAGATATACGGACGCATGGGCAATTTGCTGTGGCAACATGGCGGAAAACAGTTTTACCAGACCGCACACATACGACGCCTGCAGACGAACAACAGCTGGCGAAGGATCGCAAAAGTAACTTACAGGGCCCATAATTGTTGCTTGCCAGTGGAACTGCAGTTTGGTTAGCATTATACGTTCTTTGAGGCATCGTTCTTGCCATCCCATCGACCTCTTCCATTCCCATGATCCAAGGCCAGGACGTGTCCGCTGGCAATGACATTCGGCGAGAGGACAGCATGGGATGCCAAGAGCGGAGCCAGGATATAGATAGAAAAATCTACATACCAGATCTTCGCCAACCGGACCAGCCGAGCAGGACGAGGGCGGATCACTGTAAGATTGTTAGTTCCAGTTATTGGAGTAAAAAAGAGTCGCGAGACACATTGTGCCAGCCCCAGATGGAAACAGATTGGCGAAATGATGTCTTGCGCCAGTCTCAAAAGTATCGCCAATCAAGTCTGTGCTCAATAAATGCTAAAAACAGTTGACAGCAGTGATAACGGTGATGATGACGAAGGTGAATGGGCAGGTGAACGGACAAAAAGCCCCGCGCACGACTCAGCCCCACCTTGGAAGCCTTATTTTCGGGCTATCCGGGGTGGGGAGAAGGACGCATGCAAGGTGTATACGACCGGGGATGGCACGAGGGCCAAAAGAAGCGATGATAAAGAGGAAAAGGAATCCGGGGAGGGAGAAAAAGAAGAAAGACGAAGAACGTACCGGCCGAGGTCCGCGAGCTCCTTGTTAATGCGCTTCAAGGCCATTGTGAAGTTGTGATGTGATAAGGAAAAGCAGGGAAGAGGTCGGCAGCGTGGGTCGCAGCCTGTCGTCGATTCTCAGGTCCGTGAATGGGCGTCGACGCGCTCAATATGAACCTCAAAGAGTTGATGTTATGATCGTATTTGTTGGTATGACGGCGACGAAGATGTGGCTATCGTCAAACAAGAGGGCTGTTCTGAAAGTTATATATGGTCAGTATGGAAGCTGGGAGAAGAGTGGCGAATGTTGACACTTGTTGGCGGCTGGCAACGGTGTGAGGGACCAACAGCAAATGACAACCAGGTAGAAGATAGAAATGGGGGGAAAAGGAAGTAAGGCGTTGTATGCAGATAGCAAAATGTGGATGGTGATGCGATGTTGCGTGAGGATCAACAAACTTACCGATTTGTGAGGGTGGTTGGAAGGAAAGAGAGGAAGGGAGAGATTTGGTTTGGAAGCGGCGAGAAGAGAAAAGAAAAAGAGGGATGGTTTTTTCTAGGGAAGAGGTTTAGGAAGAAAAAGAGGGCCTTGGCCGCTACAGAGGGGGCAAAGACCGCCGAGGCTGGACAATGACGGTCTCTGTAGGCGTTAATGGAGGGGAAAAGAGGGAAAGAACGACCCGCCGCCTTGTGTCCGGTGCGGGTCACCTTCCTTCTTCGCCAGCGCCTGTGCCCCATTCAGTCTCCCACCGCCCCTGCGTTTCTGCCTCTAACTGTCGCCTGGCGAGCCGCTGCATGACCCCTGGACCAATCAGTTGTTGTCAGGCACCAAGCTAGCCCGCCAATGTCAAATGTTGCCAGGGCGTCTAGAGGCTTCCGTCCTGCCTGGCGGCAAAAAGAGGCCCAAGAAGGTTAAAAAATTGCACAGCCACATTATCATTACATAATCTCAAACACACACGGATTGAGGCGAATGTGGCTTGAACTTCGCGAAATTGGTGTGCTCGAGCTGACACGTCCTGACAAACCGACCTGGAGAGCTCTTTCAGGAAGAATGACCTACAAAAACCCGCCACTTCGTATGATTGTCACTTGTCACACTGTTACAAATACGAATTGGCCGAATAACCAGATTCGGCTTTGTGCGTACCACGAATGCATGTAGTCATTGGCTTCCTCCACACCCAGATCTCACTATTCGTTTTGATGTTGATGTATACCCAAAGGAAGACACACGCCTCGATTACTGAACCTGACAAAAGTTCGATTTGTTTGTCGGCAGTCTTTTTATTTTGAAACTAGCGTTAAATGGTATGTTAGTCCTTCGCAGTGTAGCAGGTGCAGGTGACTACATCGGGATTGTTTTGAGACTGGGTCCCACAACCAGAACCGTCGTGTCGCGTGCATTTCTTCAGGGTGGATGTCGTTATCTGGAATTGTTTGACGATCTAATTTTTCTCTGTGCTTCCTTAATGTGAACTTTCAGTGCTAATTTTTGCACGTTATTTACAACGTAAGATTCACGCAACGCATTGCCGTGTATCCAGTTACATTCAGCTTGTACAAGAAAAGAACATAATTAGCCTTGAGAGAGCCTTAGTAGCAATGGCGACTCAGAAGCAGGGCACGTGTACATAAGGTAGGTGTGTACTCCGTACAGAAGTTGCACTGCATAGCTTGCCGAGGAAAGAACTTCCTCATGGTAATGTTTCCGTCGAAATTCGAACTGGTACAAGTAAATCATGACACGGATAGTCTGTTCGCCGGAAACATGCTGAAAATAATGACTGAATGGAGGCCTTGGCTAAATATTGTAAATAATCACTGTTCGCCGTTTTCCCTTCCCTCCTTTTGACTTCGAATCGCTGCTTAAGCAAAGGCCTGCACGCCCGTGATCGCACGGCCAATGATCAGGCTATGGATGTCGCTCTGCCCCTCGTACGTCTGGGCCACAAACAGGTTAGCCACGTGCCGGCCGATGCCGTACTCATCGCTCACCGCGTTGCCACCAAAGATCTCTTGCAGTGCGCGCGCGCCGTGCAGCGCCCTGTCACAGTTTTGGCGCTTGATCATGCTGATCATGTCGGGCAGCCCGGTGGCGGCGTCACCACCGGCATCCTTGACGCGGCCGACTTGGATGGCGGCCAGAGTACCGAACGCGGCATCTGTAGCGGCGTCCGCCAGCTTCTTCTGGATCAGCTGGTACCGTGCAAGCGGGTTACCACGGAACTGCTTGCGATCTAGCGCGTACGTGCGGGCCCGGCTAATACAGTCCTCGAGCGCACCCATAACGCCCATAGCAATGCCGTAGCGGGCCTGGTTGAGGCAGCCAAAGGGGCCGCGCAGACCCTCGGCGTGAGGTAGCATGTTCTCGGCAGGCACGGGGCAGTTGTCGAGATGAATCATGCCTGTGATGCTGGCGCGCAGGCCGAGCTTGTTCTTGATGGCGGGCGTCTCGAGCGTGCCAGCCGGTGCGTCCTTGCGCTCAACCAAAAAGCCGCGGATTACCTTCTTGGGGGAGCCGTCCTTGGCCAGGCCTTTGGAGGGGTCTGCTACCTTGGCCCAGACCAGCAGTACATCGGCAATCGGACTGTTGGTAATCCAAGTCTTGGACCCGCTCAGGTTGTATAAGCCCTTCTTGGTCGGGTGCTCAACTGCCACCGTCTCGAGAGAGCCAGGATCACTGCCATGGTTGGGCTCGGTCAGTCCAAAGGCGCCCAGAATCTTGCCTTGAGCCATACCGGGAAGAAAGCGCTCCTTCTGTTCTTCGTTACCAAACTCATTGACGCCGCCCATGACCAAGCTGGACTGCACGCTCATGCCCGAGCGGTAACCTGAGTCGACACGCTCAACGGCCTTGGTGATGAGACCACCGGCCACGGTCGAGACGCCAGCACAGCCGTATCCCTTGATGGTGGCACCGAGCAGGCCCAACTGGCCCATCTCCTCCAGCTGGGACTTGTCGTAGTTCTCATTGCGATATGCTTCTACAAAGGGACAATATGCATTGTTAGCTTGACGTACGTTCCTGACAGTAGACTGCAGTTGTCTGCAATTGTGCAGACAATTGTGCTGTAATTGCGAGTAAATGGGCGAGAATAAGCCAAAAATCACCAAAACATGCTGGCAAAGTGGGAGCTTCAACAGGGAGATGGAAGACCCAAAGAAAGAATTAAGGGCTGCGTAGCATAATAAAGAGCCACGACATGGCAGCTGCCGTCTGTAGGCTATGGTCTTCTCAGGGAGGATTGTGAGGTGAGGGAGATGGGGGAAATTAACCAGGGAGTTTTCTTCTGCAACAATAACAGGTTGAAGAATTTCGCCCCTCCCTTGACCCAATTCATAAAAACCTTACCTTCCAGGCGAGGCAATAGCTGCTCCTGACAGTAACGCTCTGCTGTTTCTGAAATCGCTCTCTCATCTTCTGTGAGAAGGCTCTTGGACGAGAGAGGATCTTGCCAATCGAATGTTGTCGCGGCAGGGGTAGAGTATGCGCGGCGCGACACGGCGGGAGTTAGGCTCAAAAGCTGACTGCCCATGCGACGGCAGATGTGTCTAGACATTGTGGAGGGTGTGAGAAATAGGTGATATGAATTGGAAAGGATAGAAATGTAGTCGAGCGATATGAGATGTAAAGCCTTCTGAATTGCTAAAAACTTTTGGGAAGGTGCTGGTGATGCCCTTTAAGCGATGTCAATGGCAGTTGCACTCGGTCTTGTGTCCGAAGGTAGGCAGATGATTAGCGGCGAATTATCCGAACGAGTGCCGATTCGGAAGGAACTCGAGGTGATTCTTCGGAAGGCTAAAGGGCTGCTTGAGCGCTGGGTGGCCATGGCGTACTACAGTATTAGACTTGCTGGGGCAAGCTCCTTTGCAGCGTGATTGACCAGGTTTTGTCTTGTTTTAGCAGGGGTTTCAGGCAGGTACCGCTGAAAAAGTGGGCGCAAAACAACTGGTCTGGCGCCTGTTGTATTTGTTTTTTCTTTTCCCGCATTTACTTTCCCCAAATGGCAGTTGCGTCCCGCCTTGTCACTTTAACGTCCATTTTGGGTAATTTTATCCTCCATCACAGAGGTGAATTGATGCAAGAGCATCGTGCCCCCTTTTCTCTATCCAGTATCCTTTCATCCTCTCGGCCACTGACGCACACACTCCACCCGACGTACCATTTCATACTGCTTCCGTTGTTCTTGTTGCGCATTTTCGCCTCAATTCCGATCGAGTCGCCAATAATAACGATTGTCGGGACGACCCTTGATGGCGTTCATACGCCGGCACTTGGCTGAGGGAAAGAAGAAAAGAAGAGCGTTTCTGTATGCTTTTGACAGATCACTGTTAGCTGCTTCATTCCAAAGCCGCCTAGCGAGGAGAAGGGATGCCTGACAACTCTCCGTAAGGCGACATGAAGACAGCTTCTGAGAAACACCCGGCACTCAATACGAAACCTGACGAGGAATTGGGACGTTGAACAAAGAGACATATGATGGGCGGACGAGATTACAAAGAACGAGATTCGGGCCCCCAACACTGCCGGCCCGGGCATCGATCTACTCGACCTCGTGGGTTATCGATTCTCAGTTCCATTCTTGTCACATCCCTCCCAATCTGGAAATGCGCAACAGGAATGTGCCACACACTGAACTGGCAGGTGTTTGGCCCAGTCGCTAATGGGAGAAACTCTAGACCACAGAAAACCAGGCAACACAGGGTCAGATCAAACTGTCGGTCTCGCTGTGTACGATGCGTTGGGCCGAATTCCAGAGCCTCGCGCCATCGGCCACTAGACCAGCTTGGCGGGCCTTTGTAGTCCCTTTCCCTCCCTCCAGCCCCTTGCTGCTTTGCGTTCTTGGGCGACCTCGCCGCTCGGATCTTTGCCGATCCAGCCTCTGCGAGCACAAACAGCACACCGTTATCGCTGTGGAATGCAAATGTCTTAAGCCACCTGAGAAAAAGAGGGTCGTACACGCAGTACGCACTCTGCGCGTGGCACGCAGCCAGCCCCTGGGTACGGACCAAAACGGCATAGTCCAGGAACGCCTAGGAAAAGAAGAGGCTCTTTGGGTCTGTTAGAAGCGTTGGGAGTGCCGACAGGTCCCAGATGTGCGGATCTTCCATATTTCACCAACAACTCAGTGGCTGCAGCCGCTCTTTTGTTGCTCATCTTGCCCTTACCGCCCTATTCTGTCCGCCTTTGCTTCCTTTACATTCCCGAGTTTGTCCATCTTCCCCCAGTTATCGAGTGGTCTGACCAACCAGAAGCCGTCCTTGACAGTTTTCGGCTCTCCGTACACCCTATCCAGCGATAGACTGGTGATGGCAGATTTTTTTTGCATTCTTCATCGTGGCCCCCTGTGTTCTGTAGTGCATTATGGACCAGTGGTCGTTGCCGAAGGTCCTGTTCGTGCAGACAGCCAGCAGGCCACTTTCCTGCGCCTCACGTCGGCCGACTCTCGCCTAAGTATGCTGCTTTCTCGCTTTGTCTCTCCCAGAAGAGACACCACACGATGGGCCGAGAGCTCGCGTGTGTGATGCCCATGTCGTCGCTACGTACCTTCTGCTTCACCCCACACACGTACCTGTTCCTGACGATCTAGCTTCGTCTTCGCCGGACGGAAAAAAGCAAAAAAGAAGGAGGTTGACATGACAGAAATGGATCGACTCTGACGCAAGAGGCCCAGGACACACTTGGCAGTGGACCAAGAGGCTCAGAAATGCAGCCGTTTAAGGGGTGGCAGGTCAAAGGTTTAATGGATTTTGTTCAGGAACGCTGCATCCCCAGTCTTGTGAGGAGATGCCCTAATGCATAAAGATTCCAAGCTTCTCCCTCATCTCCTTCATCCCTCTCCCCCTTTCTTCCTTCCTTCTGATTCTATTTTTCTTTGGGTACTTTCTCACTTTTCTCGGCTGGCCATATCATATTCGGAAATTCTGTTTGTTCACTCCTTGTCTTATGATCGATCTGGGGTGGCATCCGGTTTCCAATATAATACGCCATCCTGCCATCACCAACTACCGAAACCAGATTTCCTTCTTCATGCTCATTCTCGCTTCCACTCCTTTTGATACCACACGCATTATTTGACGGCTCCATTTCAACTGCAACTTCTTTTCTTTCGGCAATCCTTACTTGCCGTTACGTCCACCTCGTTTTGAACGTCCCGCGTTCCTCACTTGATAGGTCGCCATACATCTCTACGACGCTATTACTCATCCTCTTCGAGACACGCCAGCACACCTTGAACCTGCAGCTATGGCTCTCTCCTTCCGCTCTCTGCTCAAAGTGGCAACTGCCACAGCCCTCCTGGCCATTCCTCGTGCTGTCCTGGCTGATACCTCACTCGGCTGCGTTGCCGTCAGCTCAACCTTCCAGACTATGGTGTCTGCCGTTGACAACAGCCCAGATACTTGCAAGGCTACTTGCTCCAAGGGTGGCAACTCTTACTACGGCGTGTCCCAACAGTGAGTCTTTCACTCTCTTTCCTACTCTCGGCTTTTCTCATGATTATTTTTCTTTCCTTCTTTTCTCCTTCTACTCTTACCTCAAAGCCCACCCTAACCCAACAACCCCTTACAGATTCTGCGTGTGCTCCAAGACCATGCCCACCATCTCAAAGACGTACGACTCCTCGGCTTGCAACTTTGCTTGCTCTGCACCCAACCAAGCGCAGACGTGTGGCGGCGAAGATAGCTCCACATTCCAGTTCCTTTACAATCTCTATGAGATAGGCGGTGGCAGCGGCAGCAGCGCAGCTTCTGCGGCTAGCTCAACGGCGCCGTCCACGACTGGGACTCCTGCCACCCCCTCGTCTAGCGGCGCGAGCGCCAGCATTCCAGCCGATACCAGCAGCACGACGCCTGCAAGTAGCTCCACCGTTTCGTCGCCGACCGATGGCACGTCGATCACTGTGACGGGTTCTTCTGCCACATCGGGCTCTGCTGTGCACGGCATCCCGCAGTTGACGTCGACCACCGAGGAGACAAGAGTTTTTATCTCGACGGTTGACTGTAGCTGCACGAAGAGCAGCGCGACGAAGGCGGGCAACACCCATGCCGTTGTGACGTCCACGACTGAGGTCATCGAAACCGTTTCCTGCAGTGGAGGTGAGACTAATCCAGGCAGCCAATGCACCAACAGCTTGATTACCAGCACCATCGTCCGCACCACCACACTCCACAGCTCCAGCTCCGTAACTCTGCACTCGGCCCAGGCATCTGCATCCTCCATCCCTCCTGTGTCTCGGCCGAGCCCCATTTCCGTGTCCTCGTCCATTCCGCCCATATCTCTGCCGAGTCCGATCTCGGTGTCCACGTCCGTCCCGCCCGTCTCTCTGCCGAGCCCCATCTCCGTCTCCAATCACTCTACCTTCTCATCTTCTGAATCATCACGCCCCTTGCTATCCAGCGACTTCATCGAACCCAGTAGCTCCGTCCCCGGCAACAGCAGGACTCCTTCCACCACTAGTACGCCGTCAGGTTCTGGCTCCGGCATTAGTGCCGGCCAGGCCAACGGCGGTGGCCACACTAACAACGCTGTCCCCGGATCCTCTGCACCCGCCAGCTCCACTCCTTCGTCTTCATCAGCAGCCGTCTTGTCCTCGTCTCGTTCTCTCTCCTCACCCGTCCCCTCTTCGTCTTCCACTTCTCTCTCTTCTCCTATCTCTTCTATGGCGAGCAGTGTCTCGACTTCTGCGACACATTTCCTCAACTCAACGTCCTCGTCTCTTTCCAAGTCTTCTTCCTCTTACCTCAACGCCACCTCTTCTCTTCCATCTCCCTCTTCCTCATTTGTCTCCGATGACGTGCCAGCACCTTCCTTCTCACCGGCATCAGCATCTGCACCGATATCTGCATCAACATATGCTCCCGAACAGCCACCTCCCGCACCATCTGCACCGCCTGTTGAGCCCTCGTCAATCTACTGCGACGATATTACTACGGAAGAAGTACTAATCACAGTTGTGCCCCTCTCTACAGCCGCCGCCATGTCGACGCATACGACATCGTCGGCCGTCGTCGTCCCGCAGAACAACAACTACAACGGGCCCTACAGAAACACCACGATGGTCACAGCCAAGCCGGTCAGCCCGACCGTCTCGTCGACGTCGCCCCATGCGGGCGTCAGCAATAAGCCGAGTATGGTTGTGACGGCAGCAGGCTTGCGCACGTTTGACCAGGTGTCGCTGATGAGCAAGGAGTGGTACTTGACACTCGCGGCCTTGACGGTGGCATTTATCCTGCTGTAGTGTGATTCTTTGTCTCTGCACAACAATAAAGGACACGAGCAACAAAACAGCGAAGCAACAAAACATCCGAAAATCACTTACAACGACAACAGCACCATAAACTCACGAACCGTTTCCTTTGTCACATCTGTCCATATTATACTCCTGTCCATTGCTTCATGGCCAGCGTCAGTTTTTTTTTTTAGTTTTTTTTTTATTACGTCTTGTTTTTTTCTTCTTGTTTTTTTTTTTCACTTTGGTTTACTCACCTCTCAAGGACTCTACACTGTTCTGCGTGCATTTTTGCTGTTCACGAAAAGGATGACCGCGATGCTGGGCATTTCGGGCTTTCCATTTTCTCTTGTATATCCTCTCTCGTTTCTTTGGCAAAAATTAAGAAAATAAAGGAGAAGAGCAAAGAGCAGCTTTTGGAGCAACTGATTGCTTCGACTGGGTTCTTGGCGCAGGCGAATAGCTCCTGCTCATGTACAAAGTATATTCTAATTTCGATTGTTCAATCAAAACCATATATCTACACCTTGGACTTCTTTTTGGATACCTTTGATATTGATTTGGATATTCTTTTGACAAAAGTCAACGAGTCTTCCATTGCTGCTCCGATGCAACCACGACAGCCGTGGCAGTCGGCTCCAAAATCTCACCGGATTACCGCCCCCGCGTTGTCTAAAGCAATCGGTGCGCCCTTATTTTGACGAAAAGAGACCTAGCTTCGCCGCCATTATCATGGTCTCACTGGTATCGTGCTGGGCAAAGTAAAAAGGTACCGTTACGGCCGAACACCCCCGCCTTTGCTTCAAACCGCAATTCGGTCTTGGCCTCATTTTCTTATTTCTTATTCCTTATTTTCTCTTCCCCGGCCGCAACAATCGGGTCTCATATTTTCTTCTGTTTTTGTTTTCGCACCAACGATTCCGGCTCATCGGATTGTGAAGTTCGCCGTTTGCACACCGCTCGTTTATTGTTCGTTTGGCATCCATGCTCAATTGACCGAACTTATCCAACGTTTGGCATCAACCAAGGTGCTTGGGCGCTACGACTAGACCTTGTCTCGTATTTACAATCTGTGCATCGCCTCTATCGCAACAACTCAACGTCTACATCGTCCGTCATCCACAAGATGAAGGTCAGAGAAGTAAGTCGTCGTTTGCACGTACGCTCATCAGCGACCGTCCATCTAACCAAACGCAGATCTACGTCTACCCCGTCAAGTCGCTGGGCGGCATTGCGCTGCCGGCGGCAGAGCTCGACGCGCAGGGGATCCGGTACGACCGGCGATTTATGCTGATGACGACCAAGCGGAGCAAGACTGGGGCGCTGCACAAGATGCAACTTTCGTCGTTTCCGGAGTGTGCATTGTTCTCGCAAGAGTTTGCCGGCGGCGACAGCCAAAAGAAGAAAGGCAACAGTATCAAAAGCAAAACCAAAGCCAGCGGAGACGTCGGTGACGCCGTCATCGTTCACTACCACCCGCCCGAGTCCAAGCCCAGCAGCACCTCTGTCGACCGCGCGGGCGCGGAAAAGAACCGCATCATCATGTCGCCCGTGCAGCACCCACCGCTGCGCATCCCGCTGAACCCGTCCATCCGCACCCTCAGGTCGCTCGACGTGAACCTGCACGGCAGTCCCGCGCGGGGGTACCGAATGGGCGACCCGTACGATGCATGGTTCAGTGCGTGCTTCGGGTTTGACGTGGTGCTGGTGTACATAGGTGACGGACGGCGCAAGGTGCTGGGCGAGACGCTCAAAACGGGGGTGAAGGTCCGGAATCGGAAGCGGGAGCCAAACGCAGCGACGACGACGCCGACGACACCTTGGACGGCCTTCTTATCGTTCGTAGTCTCCGCATGGCTGAGTCTGCTGGCGGTCCTCGGCATTCGAAAGAAAGCACCACCAGAGCAAGACGAGCCGTGGCTGACGTTCTCGGACTGCGCGCCGTTCCTGGTGACGTCCCAGTCGTCGCTGCGCAGTGTGCGGGCGCGCATGTCCGAAGGCGTCGACGTGCCCATGTACAAGTTCCGGCCCAACATTGTGGTAGACGGCGACGGCGAGGCGGAGTGGGCCGAGGACTACTGGGGCGAGTTGACCGTGCGGCCGCTGTCCAAGATGGACCCGACGGCCTCCTCCGTGTCGGAGGTGCCTTCGCTCACAGCCTCCTCGTCCCCCTCCTCCCGCGGCAGCTCGCCAGCGGAATTGGATGGGGCCGAGGATGGCGCCAGCGGCCCTGTGGGCGCCGGATCTGGACCCGTCCGCCTGGTCCTTACCAGCAACTGCACTCGCTGCACATCGCTTAATGTGGACTACAAGACAGGCGCGCGGGCGGCCGGCGAGCTCGGCGAGGTGCTGGGCCGGCTCGCCAAGGACCGGCGCGTGGACCGGGGCAACAAGTACTCGCCCGTGTTTGGGCGGTATGCGTTTTTGGACCCGCAGGGCGGCGACAGCGGAGGCGAGGGCGACGACAAGGACGAAGACATTGTGCGGATTGCCGTGGGAGACGAGGTGGCGGTGACACGGAGGAATGCAGAGCGGACGGTTTGGGACTGGCCTGACTTGTAAGAGGGCGGCGGAAGATGGAAGAAACATGGTACAGAGTGAATAGTCAGGTAATTGCAGCGTCCAATGTCAACTCATAGTCTAGCTTGTGTTGCCCACTCTCTTGCCTTGCCAGTCAAAGAGTGTCCGACATTTTTGACAAGATCGATTTAACACCGTCCACCAGCCTGTCACGCAGATCGTTTGCCCCCGAAGCACTGGCACGCCTTTGGTCTCTTTTGTGAGTGTGTGGACCGGGCTCATGGAATGCCGTCGGCTCCACTGCTGGCGATGTTTGCAGGAGTAGTGGTGCGTCTGGAACGACAGCAACGCCCGATTCTTTTGCTGTGGCTGGGTTGTCAGACTTGAGAGTCCATAAAAAATACGGAGCGCAGAAGAACGTACAAATCATGCGAATATTGCCTGCGCCGCCGATGCCGAAAGACTGCCGTCGTTGCGTATCACGGACGACTGTTCGGTTCTGGTGATTCTGGTGATTCTGGTGATTCTGATTTTGATTATGACCCTGACTGTGACCGTGGGTTGTCGCTCTGGAGTGCCCGGCGTCCTCGTTCACACAGTCGCGGAATGGCACGGGCCCAGGCCCAATGTTGCTGTACGCCGGCGGTGGATCATCATCGTCCTGGTCTTCCGGGAAGGGCGTGAAATCGTCCACGGCCATGATGCGAGGCGATTAAATATCGGGAGTAAATAAACCAAGGGGAAACGTTAAAACAACGCACAGGAAGCCCATGCAATGGAGCAAGCCAAGCGTCCTGGCCTCACAACAACAATTAAACTTTCTCTTGGCAACGGAACGAGAGGACAGAAGCTCCCGGATGCCAAGACATTTAACGGCACTGGCGCCTCTTTATTTGGTTTATTTGGTTCCATTCTGGGGCCTGGTCATGTACCCCAGATTTTGGGGGGAGTGAATTGTTATCGGGGCTCTGCATGTTTTGTCTAGACGTTTGTCTAGACGCTCATGGTTCCATGCCATGGTCGATCTGCTCCAAGGCCAAACGAGAAAAGCATTGCAACTCAAAGGACTACGATGACCGAGAACGATCTTGGCTCGCCCCAAGCTCTCGAAATACGACGAAAGGATAGATGAACCGTCCATTTCTATGCTTTGTCGAGGAGGGACATGGTAGCATGACCACACCGCTTGCCTCGTTGTTAGTCGGAAAGTCAACCAGAGATAACGCCAAGACTTACGATTGGGCCAGAATTGGGCCACAAACCACCGGCAACGTCTTCATCCCGGTGCCCATTCTGAGAGAAGCATGCCTCTCGTCGCAAGATAAGAAAGCAATGTGGCTCGTCTGTGATATTTTGTGACAGGATGCGCTGACACAGGAAAACGAAACGGGTGACAAAATATGAAATTATACAAATACAAAACGCAGTGTCACATGACCGGCTTTCTGTCCTGTCCCCATCCGCCCTTCTCTCTCATCGTCACCCCATCGGCCGGTCGTCTATACCAAAAGAGGTGAATTCAACCAGGTTAAGCCATCGCGGACCAACAAACACAGAAGACGGTTGACGGCATGCGGGCGAAGACTGATCTCACGTGCCGTTGGGTCCGCTTTGGTGTCTCGTATGCAGAACCTCTCTCTCTCTCTCCCTCTCGTGCCATTTGTTCTTTTCCGATGCCAACGTCACTTCTCATTTATATACCGTGGCTGCTGTGCCCGAAAGATCTATACAATAAGGAACGTGTGCCTCCATACTTGGACCAACATCTTCGCGGCTAAATTGTGGCCAGAGTGGCAGACGATATAAATAACGGACCAACATCAAAGGTCAAACGCAACAAATCTCGCATGTTTGCCCATCTGCCCCTTCGTCGCTCCAATCTACCCATTCGTTTGCAGATCATTCATTGTCTTCATTTGAAAGTCCATGCGCGCAGCAAAAGAGCTCATGGCGACAAAACAAAAGGACGCTGACAAGATCTTCATGGATCGCGTCGCCTATCGGTCGCATTCGACTGGCAGACACACACGACATCTGGGGATAATAACGAGAGCGGCAATGTAAAACAGCCGACGTAGACGGTGCATGTGTGTGAGTGGCAAGCGGAATGGACTGGAATGGAACTGGAATGGGCGAGTGAGAGAACGTCCATTAATATCGGCTGCAGTCCACAGCCTCCGCTTCCTTCTGCCGCGTCTTACCCGCGTAAAGTGGTTTTATATCGATTTTGACAGTCTTGCAGTTGGCGACCGGCCGGCCTTTCTTTTCTCGTTATTTCTGTCGTCCCCTTTCCCTCCTCTCAATCTATTTCTCATAATGGAGATCCCGCTTGTCCATGCCGGACAGAAGCGAGAGACGAGGAGGGGGCACGAGGGGGCACCAAATGAGCCATGGGGAGTTCCTGCTCTTCGCGTCGGGCCTGCCCTGGCAACTCATGATAGTCTTTCTTCACCTCTTTGTCTGAGTGCCATCATCTGTTTGCATCGATGTCGTCTCCGTCACACACGCCGACAAACACATTCGGCAAACAACCATTTCTCGGCTGCCAAACGCCCTCAGACCACAATGTGAAACCGCTGCGTGTCCCGTGATGCTCATACTTGCTGGCCACCTCTCGTATATTCGCAGCTGCGCGCTACAATGTCTTTCGCGAGCGCAGCAGCGTCTGCCGCGGCCTCGACGCTCGCCACGCTGGCGACGACGCTGACGACCGACCTGGCCACCGCCGCATCGACAGCGACGGCAGACACATCGCCAACTCCGTCAGCCACCACCATCCCCGCCGGCCACGGCGATGGCCACCACGGCACGCATGGCGACCGGCATTCCAACGACAGCCGACGCAGCGTCGTCATCGGCGTCGTCTCGTTCCTCCTGCCCTTCACCACCGCCGTCGTCTTTTTGCGCATCTACACGCGCCGCTACCTCAGCCGCCGTGCCGATGCCGTCGGCGCCGACGACTGGACCATGCTCGCGGCCCTCGTGCTCGCGGTCGTCGACGGCATCACCATGCTGCTCATGACCACCCAGGGCTTCGGCCGCCACATGTGGACGCTGACGGCCGACCAGATCACCACCTACAACATGTACTTTTACCTGTCCATTGTCTTCTACTATGCCTGCCTCGGCACCGTCAAGACCGCCATCTTGCTGCAGTACCTGCGTGTCTTTGCCGTCAAGATGCGCAAGATCACCCTCGTCGTGCTCGTGCTCATCGGCCTCTGGAGCACCGCCCTCTTCCTCGCCGGCGTCTTTGCCTGCCAGCCCATCCGCGCCTTCTGGGACAAGTCCGTCCCCAACCACCACTGCATCTCCGACCTGCCCCAGTGGTACATCAACGCCGCCGGCAACATTGCCACGGACATTTTGATCTTCGCCCTGCCCATCCCCGTCCTGTGGCGCCTCAACCTGCCGCAGTCGCAGCGGCTGTCGCTGATTGCCGTCTTTGGCCTGGGCTTCTTCACCTGCGCCATCTCCGTCATCCGCATCTCTTTTCTGAACCTGAACGGCGACGACACCTACACCAACGTGGCCGCCGCGTGCTGGTCCATCAGCGAGCTGTGCTGCGCCATTGTGTGCTCGTCGCTGCCGACACTGCGGCCCATATTGTTCCATCTTTTGCCGGGTCCGCTGCGTCATCATTATGGCAGTAACAACAACAACAACAACAACAACTACTACCACAACCACAATCACAATCACAACCACAACCAAACCGCCCACGGAAACAGCCCCAACATGTACCGCACCTCGACCCGCCACCGCCAGTCCGCGTACCTCAACGCCTACGCCAACAGCTTGGGCGGCTTCACCGGCCTGGGCCACGACCTCGACCACACCTTTGGCCGCGACGGGTACCGCCTCAAATCCGTTTCCACGCGGGACGACGACGCCACGCGGGCCACCATCGACACCGACGCCGACACCAACCCCGATGGTATGGTCCGTCGCACCAGCCGCACAATGATCATCCCGCCCCGGCCGCACCGGCCCGTCTCCTCCTACTACTACAACTTGTTCAACCACCAGCACCCCTCCGCAGCCCAGCAAGCAACGACGCAAGCTGTCCCAGCAGCCGAGTCGCCAGCAGCCACCGCCTCGGACAAGATTGGCTTGAGTTTTACAAGAACCACGAGCCATCTCCGAAGCACCTCCTCGCTGGGTGACAGCAGCAACAGTGACAGCGACAGCGGCTTCCATGGCCCTGGCGGACACGGCCGGGGCCGGAGCGTGAACCGAGACCGAGACCGAGACCGAGACCGCAACCATAACCGCAACCGAAACACCCTCCGCATGGCCCGCAACCGCCGACCACGGACCGCCAGCAGCGGCAGCGACATGGAGAGCGACAGCGACCTCGACCGGTACATGCAGTGGGCCGGCCGCGACTACTACCAGTCACAGCACTACCGCTACCGCCATGACAACAGTGACGCCAACGACAACGACAGCGGCAACCGGGTTGGCGGCGACCAAGAAAAGAAGGCTGCTGCTTCGCCGCCGCCCGCAGCGGTCACGACGACGACGGCGTCGCCCAGCAGCCTCGCCACGCATCAGTCATTATTGACGACGACGCCCTCGCACCGCGGTGCCAACACCCGCAACAGCAGTAGCCGCGCCGAGACGCTGGGCCAGGCCGCACAGGCGCTCCGCCGCAACGGCAACGGGACCAAGCCGACCGTCGACGCGCACCGACGCACCAAATCCGGCGCCACCTTCTTCTTGTCCGACGACGAGGACGGCGACGACCACAATGCGAGCCACAGCAGCAACGGTGGTGGTGGCAGCAACAGAAGCAGGGCGGAGAGCAAGAAGGGACCGTCGGCACCGTCCTCCGCGGCACCCACGCGCGCCCAGTCGCCAGCGGCATCGCTGCCGCCCCCCTGCCGCCTCGCTCCTACAGCTACAGCCACCTGCGCCGCATGGCCGCTGCGGTCGCCGACGGTGTCAGCACAGCCGCCAACGCGGGAATTGGCGTCGCCGGCACGGCTGGGAGCATCGGAGCCGGCCGCGAGAAGAGCCGAAGCAGCAGTGCCGGCGGTCCGCGAAACGACAAATCGCCGTCCGCCGCGCTGGCCGCGCCCGCCATTGCACCCCCCCATGCCCTCCCTCAACCCAGCCGACCCGCTGGCCATTGACCGGGACGCCTACCTGGGTCTGCGCCAGGGGACAGTCACCTCCATCGAGGCGAATCGGCCGTCGACGGCGGAGGCCGAAGCCCTCGGGTTGACATTGCCGACAGGCCCCGGCATCCAGATACGCCGCGAGGTCGCCCAGGATGTGGAGCCCGCCTGAATCGACTAGATTGTTTTGGTACCTGTAAAATAGTGCTTTCGTTAGCTCTTGTATGCTCGTGTGTGTCCATATTCTGTATGTATGTTCAAAGTTCATCCAGATAAGTAAATATGCTGTGACAGAATCATAGTGAAGGAAATAAATATTGAGAAATAGTAATAACATTAGCACGACGGTTGTAGGAGGTAGTTCTACCCTCGGAAGAAGACCGAGACAAAAATGTGACAAAAAGAAAAAGCTAAAGACAAACTATAAAATTATCAAAAACGAAAAAATAGTGAATGTGCTTTATCCCAAACGCCGACTGCTTTCGACGCCACTCGGGCCTCGAAAAGGGACCAGCAGTTTCAAAAATTAACAAAATAGAAATAGGAAGGGTGTATGCAAATCCATACGGAAGAAACATGCAAAAGGGGGAACTGTCTCCGAGTGTCCAACCTCAAGCGACGTATTCTCCGTCTAAGGGAACTAGTCATGTGTATGGTGCCAGTCGGCCGTGATCCAATAGCAAGCAAAAGAGAGAAAAAAAAAAGCCCAAAGGAAAAATGGGTAAAATGACAAGAAAATGGTATGCACAAAATAGAAATGGGCACTCAGATTGTAGGTCCGACGACGCTTACAACATGCCCTTTCCCTTGCCAAACAGGCCAAGGCGGAAGCCCTCGCCCTCGCCAGTGCTCATCCACACCAGCATGGATACAATGCCGCTGATGATGAGAATGGTGAGGATCGACGCACCGGCACGGTCGCCCGCCGTGATGGGGCCGTACGTGGTTGCCGAGACCGTTGAGCCAACGCCGGCCGCCGCGTTACCCACACTCGTACCGCCCGTCAAATTAGTCAAGGCGGCCTTTACGGGTTCGAGGGTGATCATGACGCTCATCAGGGCGCCGAGGGCGTTCATTTCCTGACCAGCACCAGTAAGGCCGTCGTACGAGCCTGTCGTCCAGCGGAATCCGCAGGTGCCGTCGGGGTTACAGTTCTTCATGGCGGCCTGGGTAGACGTCTTGAGGACTGGAAGAATAGTGGGCGCGAGGAAAGGTGCCATCTGCGTGACCTGGGCAAGCCAACGGTGCAGGTAGCATTTGTACGAAAGCATATCGGGCGTGCACTGGATCGAGGTCGGCAGCTCGCAGGCGAGTTCAACGGCAATACCGTTGGGGAAGAACACATCGAGGGTTCGGTTCGTCAAACTTGTCAGACGCTGGCCCCAGAGAGCGGACCCGTTGGTCTGTAATGCTAGTTAGCAGGAAGAAATTACACCAAAATAATAAGCAAAGAATAGGACTTAATGGTGTAAAACTCACGTAGTTGTACATGAAGCCAGCGCCCTGGATGAACGCCGCAGCCGTGTACGAGAACTGCGCCTTGTTGATGTCAGTGCAGTTGTGCTCAACGTGGGCACCGTCGTAGATGTTGAACGAGGAGTCAATGTAGCCAACGTCGGCCGTCCAGTTGTAAGCAGTCTCGGCCCAGTGCGCATACGAATCGTTGCCAGTGTAACGGGCCAGACGGGCGCCGAGGTTGAAGAAAATACCGTTCGCAATACTGTTCTTGTAGTCGTAGCCGTTGTTTGAGAGGGGGATCTGCCACCGCAGACCACCATTGCAGTACTGTGTGTCCCAGCGGGCAGCCTGGGTGTTGAAGACGGCCTGGGCCAGAGCAAGCCACTGAGGGTCCTTCTCCGGCGGGTTCTGGAAGTTGGACTCGGCCGCCAGCATAGCGGTCATGCCCCAGAAGCCTTGATCGTCATTGCCCAGGGACGCCGTCCAATTGGCCGGCTCGTAGCTGTTAGCCGGCGGGCCGGCCTGGTACACCATGGCGTACTCAGCGGTCGGGTTGTAGGACGTATCACCGGTGTAGAGCCAGTAGTCGACCATGGTGCCCCACATTGCGCCGCCCTCCCACCAGTAGTAGTCACCATTAGGCGGAGGGCCGGGGAGAATACCGGGCGTCATGCCTGGGGGAATGGTCAGCCATTTGTTGTCCTTGTTGGGGGGAGGCCAAGAGAGATCGGGAAAGACAGGGCTGATGTGCGAGAACGGAAAGACTACATATATGAAAATAAAACATACCTGACAGATTGCCCTTGTAGTAGGACAAGAGGTTGTGAGCGATTGTTGCCATCGCATTCTTCACCGATGCTGTGGTTGCAAGTCATGGTTAGCCGTCATCACACTCACGATGCGATCGAATACGATGCCAAGCTCCCCCAATCACACACTGCCAAATCCATGCCAGCGTGCCAAGACCAACCCCACGAGCATTGACATGTGGAACCCTTGTGCCAATATTCAGTGCGCAAAAACTATGACGCGTTCACCTGTGCAGCAGAGAGCCTGGGCATCGTGGGGGGTCCAAAGCATCGTTCACAAAGGATGATGATCCGATGCATTTGCAAAGACGTGGTACGAGCAGGGAAGGCGGACGAAAGGCGGGCAGAAGGAGGAAAATGTACGCACTTGACGAAGTCAGGTCGACATCGATCTGGGCGCTGGCCGTGGAGGCGCAAGCCACCGCGACGAGGAGGGTTTTGAGCAGCGACGGAGCCATCGTCAAAAATACTGGCGTAAGCGATGCTTGGTGTATTCTTCGTTCTTCGTTCTGCAACGATTGCTTGCCGTCGAAATCTAGATCGTGATCGGTGTTGTTTCGACTGCCGCGCTTGGCATCGCCAGAGAGGGCCGGCTGTGTCGGTTCGGGGAAGACAAGACGAAGCGAGGGCTAGGCCGTCTTGAGCAACAGATCGCGTCTCTTGGTATGTCTCTTGGACGATGCTTGGTCGTTCTTGGACTCTTGGGAGTTTCTTGGGAGTTTATGTCTTGGCGCTGACTACCTCTTGGCTTCGTCGATTGGAGCAAGGGGATCTCGGCTGAAATTGGGGGGACAATGTCGAAAACGAAAAGGACGACGAAGTTGGATCAAACGAGCGAAAAGTTGCGGGAGGAAATCGTGCGCAGCGAGAGTTGAGGTTGTGAAAGAGAAAGATAAAACGAGAGAATAGGGGGACCGCGACGAAATAACTGGAGAGCAAGAAGATAGACGAAAAACAGGTCTTTGTTGAACGCGAGAGAATGGGGAAGTGACGAACGGCGGGTGCTTCGGTGCTACAGGGCAAAGGGGGGCAGACACGACGGCCAGTGGAAGGCGTCAAAGACAGAGCAGGAGGCCATCACAGACTGCCATGATTCCAGAACAGAAAGTGCCAACAGGTGGCAATGAACTGCCAAAGGCAGGCACGCACCACTGTAAAATCGACAACGGGGAGGTGGATATGGCGGCAGGGAAGGAACGACGGATGGGCCATCCACATCACCCATTCCAGCGGAGCACAAGCCCAAAAAGCAGGGAATTGCGCAAATTGATCTGGGCGTTACGGGGCCTGGGCCACACAACCTGTGCCGGTCTATGCTCAGTGGCGGTAGTGGAAGAGCGAAATGAGAGAAAAGGGAGGACATACGTACCTCACTACAGGGATCGATGTCGTAGATTATGCCTCTTTTGGACTAGCCTTGTGAGATTTTCACTGTTTTGCTGCTTTGGCAGGTCGTTACAGGGGAAACGACGCGGACCTGGAAAGGGGAAGGCGCAACCCCCTATTTTTGGACACAACTTGTAGCGTCTAACAACCAACGCGGTAAATGGCAGCAGTCACTGTTAGGCTGGTACTTTGTTCCTCCTGGCGCTATTCACCAGCTGCCCGGAGTTCTCCAGTATGTCGTACCTTACTAGGCGTGGTAAACGTTACAGGCGATAGAAGCAAGAATGTGAATACATCTCAGCGTCAGCGTGCTACAACATGGAGTCCGGGTACTGCGAGCCAACAAAATTGGACTGTTGAGGCGCAGCAGAGGCTATTTTACCAGACGAGACAGAAGTCGGACAGCAAAATGAATACGAGGAACCACAGCATAAAGTTTTTCGTAATTATTGGCAAGGACGCAGGAGATTTGACATGGAAGGAACAAAGGGCGGCGCGGCGAAAAGTCAGCAAGAGAAGCGAAGGAGACAAAAGCCAGCCAACCCGAGTTGAAAACCATAAAAGGAAGGAGCAAACAAAAAGACGACCGATGGAAGCAATATCGTCATTGAGGGGATCGTATCAAGCGAGCATCCCACCGCATCGTCCCGCATTGCATCTGGCGGGCACTTTAAAGTGATGTGCCGTGTGCCAAGAAACAGGACGCTGGGCAGGATCAAACGGGAAGGCGGACGGTCCAGATTAGTGACGAGGGTTACCGTTCGTGACACAGATTTGGTAAATATAGTCACGTGAAATACCACGTGATTTGTCACAAGACATCTCAACGAACTGGAAAAGATTGGCATTGCGATATGTATCAGAACGATATATCAACCTGGGGGTGTTGTTTATTTTCCGCCTCAAGAGAGACTGTCGTAAGCTAACTAGTTCGTTTCTATTCCTCACGCAATATCTTTTTCTTATGAAGTTGGTCATAAAGCAATTGATCAACTAGGTCTACTGTAAGTATAGCAAACAAAAAGCTTGAAAAATGTTACCCGACATTTGGTTACTACCACTCCAGAATATGGCTAATGTTACAGAAAAAGAACAGTTAACTTGCTAAAGCCCAGGACAGATATGGTAAGTACGCCTTCGTGAGCCTCCTGTACTTGTTGGATCTACAAGCAGCAAAGACCGGCAATGCCCAGCTATTAATTGTCTCCTTTGCCGACAAAGGAACTGTGTGTTCATAACGGGTGTTTCATTTATACTACCCAGGCAAGTTCAGCTAGAGAGAGCCACTCGCGTATCCGATCGAGTGTCTACATCGGACCTACCGCAAATAAAAAACAACATAACAAAGTGGTATTAACTTTTCCCCCGTCCACTCCCACCAGCTTCGTCACACAACGATGAAAAGATGATACAAAAATATCGGAAAACCAACGAAGTTCTCCGGAGACAGTGTTTAACTTGTCGAGATGATAGGTCGTGAGAGAGAAAGGATATAGAGATGACAGAGAAAGAACGTTTGAGAATAAAATATGTGCAAAACCGCGAGCGGGTTCTGATCATTTGTCCCGATCCACACTTCCCTCGCCATGACGATATAGAAACGGCTGTGTGGCAATGACGAAAAGTATTGGGAGATACGGTGGCACGGGGGTTTGCATCCATCAAGGCCATATCCTGGTCAGCAGACCAAAGGTCTTCCGTCCACATACATACTAGAACCGGTCCGCTTAGTTCTGACCAACCAAGTGCTCGGCCTGGACACGGTTGACGACATCGTCGGCGTCCACCTCGTGGGCAGCAATCCGCTTTCGCGCCCAGCTTTTGAAGCCCGGAACACGGCTGAAAAAGTTGAGCGTGGGGCGGGCAAACGGCAGCCAGCCAGTGCGCTCCTCGTACAGCAAAAAGAAAATCGACACGATGATGAACAGCCAGTAGAGGTTGTATGAGATGATGGTGCCGTAGGTGCCCGTGTTCTGCCAGCCCAACAGCGCGTTGAACACGTCCCAGCCGTTGCTGATTTCGGGGTTGCCGTAGTTGACGTGCCAGACGGTGGCGGTGATGTCGTACGAGCCCGGCCCGCTGCCGGCCTCGGCGACATCGCCACCGACGCGCTTGGCAAAAACATAGTACTGAAAGAACCAGATAGAGCGCGAGAACATGCCGGCCGCAATCAGGTACAAGACGCTGGTCGAGAAGATCAAAAAGGCCTGGATGGTCATGTGGTTGCCGCCGCGGTAGAGCAAGAGGCCGATGATGAGAGCAGCGATTATGCCCGTGATGACGGGGATGGGGAAGGCGGTGGCGGGCAGACTCAGCGAGACACCACCCACGAACACGACAGCCTCGACACCCTCACGCAGGGTCGTGATGAAGGGCAGGATGAACATGACGTTGCGGCGGCCCCACTCGCGAATCCACATAAAGGTGCCGTCCTTGATGGAGTGGTGCGTGACGAGCGACTGGGCGATCTTGACCCGCCACTTCTCGCGCATCTTGTTGATGCGGAGCAGGGCCAGGCCCATGGCGGTGATGATGATGGTCGCAATCAGGTAGAAGATGCCTTCCCACAGCTGCTCCGCTCGGGTCCAGATGTCGCGGCCGAGGCCGTAGAACACGCCGATGAAGGCGCCACCGATGATGAAGCAGATGAGCACACCGGTGCCTGCACCGAGCCAGACCTGCCGCCGCATTTTCTTGTATATGGCAGGGTCCTGGTCAGGGCCACCGAGGGCCTGTTTCAGGAACGAGAAGAGGACCGAGAGGATAATGCCTGCCTCGAGACATTCGCGGAAGACGATGAAGAACACCTGGACGGCGAAAACGTTTTTGCCCATGATGATGGTGATGTGGATGAAGGAGACTGCTCGTGGCAATCCTCCTTCAAATGGTATGGGTGTTGTTGATCTGCTGAAATGGGGGTTTGGGCAAAGACTGCCAATGGCTTCTAGTGATGCAAACGGGGTAAGTAAAGAGTGCTTCCTGAATAGGAAAGGAAATAAAGAACGAGAAACCAAATAAAGAGACGAGGATATGGGAAAGGTGAAGACAGAGGAGAAGAAGAAAATCGGGCGTCAAGAGAACCGAAGGACCAGGAGAGTAAATACGATATGGAAAGAAAAAAAATGACGAGACGCAAGCGGAGATGAGGGGATAGGCGAATGAAGAAGGTGAGAGTACTAGTCGTAGACGGCCGGGATTGGAGCGTGTAGGCACAGACAAGAGGAAACCAGCCGTGTTCCGGAGACAGGAAATGCAGAGGAGGCAAGAGTAGGGTCCAGCTGGGGAGGGGGTGCATGTAGAGATGGAAGATCCCAGGAAAGAAAAGATAAACTCTTTGATAGGCAAGGGGCGACACGAGGCGCGGAGGTTACGGGAAGGAGGGTCTGAGCTGGGCGAGTGGGAGATGATGGCAAGCAACGGTCTGGATCCGTCCTTGATCTCTCTGTTTTGGTTATTTTTTCTTGTCCTTCGTTTCTTGTGCATTGGCCAAGGCAGCACGGACCAGACCACTGTCTCCGTCTTCGGGGAGAAGATGTGGACAAGAGAAGCGTGGCTCGTGGGCACTTGCTTGGCATTCAACCAAAGACGGTGATGATGCAGGGAACGAAGAGGAACGTGATAGCTGACTTACATACAGGCAACGCGGCAACTGCTGGCGTGTTTCGAACTGCGAATGCCTGACGTTGAAGTGACGAGAGTGGTCACCTTTGCAGAAAGAAAGGACAGTAAAAAAAAATATACACGCGCGCGAAGCGTCGAGAAAAGACGACGCGAGCGACACTCCTAGGAAAAGGAAATGCGAAGAAATCGTGGCCGAGGTTAGAGAAGCAAGAGGTAAAGCAAAAAGGCCTGAAAGGTCAAAATAGTAGGGCGAGCCTTAGGGTAATCAGATTGTGCGTGCGGGTAAGAAAGACATGGCTACCGAACAGAGCTCATCCCCACTGGAAAACGAATGATGAAAAGGCCGATTGACTGTGTTCTGTAAAATTTGTCGGATGCTGATCGGAGCATTTTATCGATTTTATCGATTATCTGATTGTAATTTATCTGATTTCCCTGTTTCGTTTCATTGTTTTACCGACCTTCTCCTAGACTATTGGTATTTGCTGCAGCTTAAATTTTATCCATTTTAGCTTCAAAAGCGGGGACAAGCCCTCCGTATGGGGCTTCTTCTTTTGAGCGAATACCGAGTTTCTCTTGGGGCACAGGAGAAACATGGCAATCGTACGAGGAGCGGCTACTGTGTAGTCGGCCCTTGAGCTCGGTTCCTGGGCGTCCTCGAGGCTGGCGTGATTGAACGCCCACGGTATTTGTTCGCATGCACCATCCATCACACCCTCTGGGGAAACACGAAAGATAATCTGGTGGTAATACGAGGCGGGTTGGGCAAAGGCATAGCGGAGGGAGCGATCACATAAAACTGAAAATCGAACGACCAGTGGGCAGTTGCATCGTCTGGCTTCAGAAAAAAGGGAGGATACGTGGGGGTTGAAGGCTATTCTTGCGTGGGTGTCTGCACCTTCGTACGGTTTGCTCGCTGCGTCTCTCGTCTCTCGTACTTTTTCCATTATTTTTGACCCTGTCTTTTTCTCGTTTCGTGACTGGTAACACGCAAGGGCGAGTGTACGCCTTCCATCTACATTTGGGATAGCAGGGCACTGCATAATAGAACTGCGCATCGTGGCGTTGGACGACTGAACCGTCCGGGTCTCGGCATGGAAAGCGCAAGGGCCTCGATTGATATGGCTTGTGGCTTCTGCCCTCCCCATTCCGGCGGACACATGGGGGTAGAAGGAAAGGGGAGAAATTTGACATTGAAAAACAGTAACATTCCCTACTGAGGTTGCGTTCTGCAATTACGGAGACCGAAGCAGAGATTATCTACTGGAGTGGGGGACCTCGAGAAAACGTCCGTGGAGTGGAGAGATTATCTACATCTGATTGTCAAGACTCGATCCGCTCTATTTTCTAGTGCGTCTTTTTTGGTCCTCGCGCTCTCTTTCTATCTACGTTTGGGCCACCAGCAGTTTTCCCTTGTGATCCCCCGTCTTGCGGCACGTATTATGCCGTGGACAGAAAGCCACGAAAACATGAAAGCGAATACGATCGCACCAAACAATAACGGACCGAGTTAGACGCCAAAATAAACACGTTGACTGCTTTGTAAAGTTGCCCGTCCATCAAACAAACTTCTTCAGTATTGATTGTTGTTTCCTGTGCTGGCTATGTTTCATTTATTCCGTATATACCATGCTTTTGTTCTCGTGTTCGTTGCTTCTTGCTCCCCGGATAGTCGCAGACCAACCCTGCCAAGCAGTACCATCCCCAGGAACATAAAAAAGCTTGGGAGTGGGACAAACTCCAGAATCCTAGTGCCTGAAGATAAAGAAATCCACCAGACCGGCCTCGAATTGCACCCAGTCTTTATTTGCAGGCAAGTTCGCGAGCGGCTACGACGCTGAGGGCGAGTTTTGGAATAGCCCACGACTTCTTTCGGACAAGCCCACGGCGTCCATAATGGCTTGTTTCGCCAAGCCCTTCCTTTTATTTCCGTTCTAATAGCACCACAGCACGTTGAAAAAGCCGGTTAGGGCGGGAAAATAAATAAAATAAAATACAAAAAAGGCACTGCGCCGTAATAGCGTGATGATTCCCTGGTCATGTGTTAAAGTCGTATGGGACGAAGGGACCAGGCTCCGTAGGTTGTTGCTCATTTGGCTTGGCAGGTAGTTTTGCCTTGGTAAAATATGGTGGTCGTTAAAGGCCTGGAAGGAGATCAATTAACAAACTTTATTGTATTTTAGAGCACTTGGGGGTTCCCTTATTGTTCTGGCCTGAGGACACTGCGGCCAAGAAAATCCAACCCAAAAGCGCGTGAGCAAAGCTACAAGGAAAACGAGGTCGGTGGAAATACCGCAGTGCGGAATATGAAAGTGGGCACAGGCCGCCCCTTGAATGAAACAGACCCTCGCGAGCTTAGCACCAAAAAAGAAGAAGGTTCTGACGACGGTCAAAATCACTCTTGTATTGTCCATTTGGTTGACCCGACCCGTTCAAATTTTCGTAGGGCCTTCTCGACGGATCAAATGTGCCCCTTCGTGTGCGATCTCGGACTCGGGCAGACCCTCCTACCTGTACGGAGTAACATACACCGGTTAGTGGCGCCCTCCTGTCCATTATTTGACGGGCGACTTGTATGTTGCCCGGATGGTTTTGCCTCAGCGCCGGGCTTGTTGAGAGGCTGGCTGTCTGAGGTACATGTGGACATGGTTCTTATGCCTCAACTTGCCAGGTCTTTCGCAATATGGTGGCTTTTCTCACTAGGCTTGAAAAAGGTCTCTAGCTTGTCCCAGCGGCTGTGGATATCCATAGGGTGCCATTTTCTGTGTATTTCTGGTGCATTTCGTGCGGGTTGGGGGGGCTGTCGCGAAAATATATCTAATCATCTGATAAAAAATCGTAAAAAAATGTTACGACATATCCGCTGAATCCAATGATGACGGTCGTGATATGGACAGGGACCAGCTACGACTAGCTAGCGAAGCGAGAGGAAACTGGTCGAAACGACGAGAATAAGGCGACCCACTGGTAATGCTGCGCAGAAAAGAAGTACAAGCATCTGCTTCTCGTTGGTTTTCGCGGCATTTTAGAGACTCCTGCCATGGAGATGCCCCAACGTTGTATTAAAAGACTGGCCCAATACGGCTAGCCCAGCTGTTGCAGCTGTGATTCGTCTGTTTTGGCAGGTGCGAGCGCACGGTGCCGAAGCACACATTGCATTAAAGTTATCTGATCCGCTGTAAATTCCAAAGGGTAGGAACTAAGGAGGGCATGACGAGTGAGAGCGCACAGGGCAGGAAGGAACGCTCCAGGGTTGCATGCAACATCAGATATTCGTTTCGACGCCACAAACGATGTCGTACCAATATTAGCAGCACAAACCCGGCACAAATCCGGCACGAACCCGGCACGATTGATAAGAACAAGACCACATTGAGAAGGAGAAAATGCAATTCTGCATACCGTACCAAGGTCGAGACCAACGGCGGGGATTTGACACGAATCACCTGCCTTGCGCCCAGTTTCGCCTTAGTTTTCCGCACTGATTGTTGATATTTTGGCTTTTTAATTCTGATTCTCGACACGCGTTTACTGCATGCTACGATTCGGCTGTTGCAGTTCAGGCCAATCCTTATATTCAGAACCGACAGTACATTGGCGAATGCGCTATTGACTTTTCTACCGTCAAGCGGAGTGGTTCTGGCCTTTCCGATCATTCTGGCTTTCTGTTTTCTTTCGATGTATTGCCCAGCACATCGTGTTACGTATAGCAAATTCTGCCTCTGGTAGCTGCCGTCGATTGCTCGTATTTTGGCATTCGCTCTGGTAATGATTATTTTATCCCACTCACATTACGTGCATCCATGTATACTTTACTGCCTTACTTGCCGGTTTTACTGATCGTGGCCGCTGCTCAGCTTTGAAATACCATTCTTGTGTCCACGACGCATCGTCACAACGCTTCCGTGAGCCTCGACCCTGTCGAGATTGCAAGCACAGCAGACAGACACGAGCCGCATCAGCCATGTCCTTCCATACCTTGTCCACACAGCACAATCACCGTACCCCCACTTCGGATCCGCTTTCCATCGCTTGTTTTGCTTCCCACTGGCAGTTGGAAGCATGGCGGGAGTACACTGTTCTTTGCAGATTCTCACAGTCGTGCCTATCGAGTCGAGAAAAGGGGGGTGTAGTGAGTAGCACAGCGTGTTTTCGCTAATTTCTCCTGCATCCCACATCCCACGGAAAACCCAGAAAGTGTTACGTACTGTTGTCTGCGTACCGGTGTAAAAGAAATTCCACAAGGTAAGATAATTCGAGCCGAATAAGTGAAACGAGACAGCTTGGGAAAAGCAAGCAAGAGGTAGTGAAGTGATACGTACTGCAGGACCCCGACAGTACCCAGACTACCCAACCCCGACGGCACAGTCATTCCGCGTTCGGCAGACTGCTTCATACTCATACTGCATCGTATTTACATACGGCCAGTCTGTCATAATAACCGACGTTACGGCAACCCTTGCATTCGGAGGACCTTTGTCTCTCGCATGAGTCTCTCGCGCTCTCCCATCCTTTGCCGTTTTTTCTTCCGCTTCGCTGTGCCAACACAATACTAACAAATGCTATGGAACGTCGTTGACAGCAATCGGCCGACAGCGGGTAGACAACAAGAAAAGTCGGGCTTCATCTAGGACAATTCGTACCTCGTACCCATTAGCACTAACTCTACCCCATAGACTCGTCCTGCCCATGTGCTCGACCATTGATTGTCTTTGCTTCTTTGTTGTGGAGTGGACCTCTCCGAGCCCACACAACCTCGACAGCCAAAATCCATGCATGCCCCATCAGGTTAGTAACCTCCAATTCTAGCTAGCCTCTTTTGTTCTGCATTTTCACCCCCCGGACACCAACCGACAGGGCACGTCTTCCCGGCAAGAAACAAGTGGTGTTTTATCAGATTTTTCGAGGAAAGCGGCTGGGGGTTGCCAATGAATTGCAGTCACATCAGGACCGGAAATGAAAACAAAAGAAAAATATTATCAATGGCTCAGTTGTGCCCTTCCGATTCCGCTCTCTAGCTTCCCACGATAAACGATACCTCCTCCAAGGGGTAGCTCTGGAGGTTGCCGTCTCGGTTCCTGGGGTTTTGTGCCAACTGTGAAGTTAGTTTTTTTTTTTTTTTTTTTTTTTTAAACGCAGTTCCCCCGCCCCTGTCCCGGCCCTTCTCGTTTGTCGCTTTTGTTCTCACCCCTCGTGGCACCTCTCTCTTTTTTATCTGATCCGCCGGCATCCCGAGACGGGTCGCGAGGATATCGAGCAAGGCAAGACTCGAGACAATCTCTTCACCTCGTGCCCCATTTTCGAGGTCTTTTCTATTCCTTGCTCTTGCCTTTTCGCATTTTTCTTTTTTGTCGCCCGGGTCACATCATCTTCTCCATTGGTGCGTTTGCGGCATTACCATACCCAGCTTCGAGTCTGTCCTCAACCCTACCTGGCCATCGAGTCTCTCGGGCGTCCTGTGGTCCTCTTGCCCTTCAACCCTGCCCACCCTTCTAGCAGTAGCCTATCTTCTGATCGGCTGTTTCTTTTCCATTCCCTCGTATGTTAATCTCTACTCTTTGTACAACATACTTTTCTTTTATTGTCCCTTTCTCTTTTTTCTTATCTGCGGCCTCTTTCCTTTTCCCCATCATTCCTATCTTCGTCTTGTGACTTAATCCTCGTCGTTGTCGTCGTCGAGGTCGACACAAGTTCGACTAAAACAAATTGTCAAACACCCCTTTGTGCTTGAGTCTTGTTCTCTTTTCTCTTCTTTCCTTTTTATATATGTTCATTTCCTAAGTCCCCTCCTCCCACCCCCTCAAAATGGTTCGCGCGTTCGTCGCCGGCCTGCTGGCTCTGGCTGCCGGCGCCGTGGCCGAGACGATCAACCTGGACTTCAACGTCTCGTGGGTCATGGCCAACCCCGACGGTTTGGCCGACCGCAAGGTCATTGGCATCAACGGCGAGTTTCCGCTGCCGCTCATCAATGTCACCAAGGGCGACCGCCTGGTGGTCAACATGTACAACGGGCTCGGCGACAAGAGCACGTCGATCCACTGGCACGGCATGTTCCAGAACGGCACCAACAGCATGGACGGTGCGTCCATGTTCACGCAGTGCCCGATCCCACCAGGCTCCAGCTTCACATACAATTTCACCGTGGAACAGACCGGCACGTACTGGTACCACTGCCACACCGACTACTGCTACCCCGACGGCTACCGCCAGGCGCTGATCGTCCACGACCCGGAAGCGCCTTTCTACAATGACTACGAGGAGGAGTTTGTCATGACGCTGTCGGACTGGTACCACGACCTGATGGAGGATCTGAGCACCCAATTCTTGTCGCTCTACAACCCGACTGGCGCGGAGCCCGTCCCCAACTCGTTCCTGATGAACGACGGCCAGAACCAGACCTTCCACGTCAAGCCCAACACGACGTACCTGCTGCGCATCATCAACTCGGGTAACTTCATTGCGCAGTACTTTTACATAGAGGGCCACAACTTTACCATTGTCGAGGTCGACGGCGTGTACACGGAGCCGCAGGAGGCCAGCACCCTGTACGTTGCCATTGCCCAGCGCTACAGTGTACTGCTGACGACGGCCAACTCGACCGAGGTCAACTACAAGATAGTCACCGTGGCCGACTCGGACCTGATGGACACAATCCCCAGCAATCTGCAGCTCAACCAGACCAACTGGCTGGTGCTCAACGAGAACGCGCCGCTCGAGCAGGCCGTCGTCACGGCCGCCACAAGCGACGACATCGTTGCCTTTGACGATTTCACGCTCGTGCCCAGCGACCGCATGGCGCTGCTGCCGGAGCCGGATATCCAGATCAACGTGACCGTCTACATGGTGAACCTGATCAACGGCTTCAACTACGCCGAGCTGAACAACATCACCTACACCATCCCCAAGGTCCCCTCGCTGTACACGGCGCTTTCGGCCGGCGACCTGCGCACGTCCGAGGTTGTGTATGGCGAGTACACCCACCCGATTGTCCTCGGCCACAACCAGGTCGTCGAGATTGTCCTGAACAACGGCGACACCGGCTCGCACCCCTTCCACTTACACGGCCACACCTTCCAGGTCATCAACCGCGAGCCGCCCATCGGCCCAGACTTCAATTCGTACCGGGACGGCGACCCGGTCGCCTACGATGCGAACAACCACACCGACTTCCCGCCGATCCCCATCCGCCGCGATACCGTGGTGCTGCCGCCCCAGGGCTTTGTCGTCATGCGCTTCGTGGCGGACAACCCGGGTGTCTGGGCCTTCCACTGCCACATTGACTGGCACATGGCCTCGGGTCTCGCCATGACCTTTGTCGAAGCGCCCGAGCTCATTCCCACCCACGTCGAGGTCCCCGATGACCACTATGCGGCCTGCGCTGCTGCTGCCGTGCCCACGGTCGGCAACGCCGCTGCCAACGCCCAAAACTTCTTGGACCTCACGGGCCAGAACGCCCAGCCCAAGGACATCCCCGACGGCTTTACGCCGCGTGGCATTGTCGCCATGACCTTCACGGTCCTGTCGGCCGTCCTCGGCATCATCTCCATCATCTACTACGGCCTGGCCGATCTCAAGCACGCCCCCAAGTCGGCACCCGCAGCGCGCGACTCATCGGAGGGTGAGAATGCGGTGACCACGACCTCGATGCCCAAGCACGGTTGAGCGGTCTGTGGCTCTGTGGTGGAGGAATGCAAGGAGAATATTGGTCGAGAAAAAGGATTCTGTGTTTGCCGGCAATATGCGCATTTTGTTAGTCCCATTTTTCGTCTCTTGTCCACCGTACACTGTTGTCATCTCTTGTTGTTTGACCTACTGCATTGTTTTTGTTTTGTCACGGTGGACGAGATACGTTATATACCTATTTCGAGTTGTTTCCCTCTATGCACAATGATAAGCGTGCACGTGAACACCGTCCGTTGTGCCTGCCTTGGCCTTGAGTGACTATTCTGCATTCATAAATCGTGTAGATCGTGCCTTCCTAATTCCTAATACCTCACTGCCCTACTCCTTCCCTATCCTATGTCTGCTCCTCCCCTGCTCCTTCCCTACGCGCCCTCCAATCCAAATTGGGCAGTCCACTCAGCACATCTCGTGATCTCGTTAGCTCCCACCGACGGCTTCACTTTGGCCACAGACGCAAAGAAATCGTCCACCGTCAATGGCGGTGCCCGTGCCCTGCCTTGCGGCACGCTCTTCCATGTCATCTGCCGCGCGCCCGCGGAGCCCGCTTCGCACGGCACCCACCAGCCAGTTGCATCACGCGCAAAGTACTGTGCGCCGCGAACACGCTTGACCGGCAGCATCAGCGCGTCCTGTACGGCATTGGCGATATCACTGCCCGAGAAGCCGTCCGTGCGGCGCGCGAGCTCGGCACCGACAGCCACGTCGCGCGGCCCGCCCGCTGCGCCGACGACAGCGGCCCACTCGTCGCCGCCGTGCACGCGGAACAGCTCTGCGCGGGCGTCGTCGTCGGGCAGGGGGATGTGAATTCGTTTCTGGAAGCGGCGCCGGATGGCTGGGTCGAGGGACCAGGGCAGATTGGTTGCGGCCAGCAAGACGACGCCTTCGTTGTTGCCGTGGCCGACACCGTCCATTTGGACGAGAAACTCGGTCTTGAGACGGGCTGTCGTGGCATCGTCACCACCACCACCGCCGCCGCCACCGCCACCGGACTCTCTGCTGTTGCACAGCGCGTCAATCTCGTCAATGAAAATGACGGACGGCTTCTTCTCGCGCGCAAGCTCAAACAGCTGGCGCACCAGACTCTCGCTCTCGCCGAACCACTTGGATGTCAGGTCCGTCGCGCTGATGCTGAACAGCGTGTACTCGACCTCGGTGGCCACGGCCTTGGCCAGGTACGACTTGCCGGTGCCGGGGGGGCCGTAGAGCAGGATGGCCCGCCGCGGCTTGCGCTTGCCCTGAAACATGTGCGGGAAGCGCAGCGGGAACACGACGGCCTCCTGCAGCTCGTCCTTGGCCGACGCCAGTCCGGCCACGTCCTCCCAGCGCACGTTGGGACTCTCCGTGACAATCGAGCTCAGGAGCGACTCGCGCAGCTGCTTGGCCATGCCGCTCTTGGAGTCCTTGTTGGCGTCATCCTCGCCATCGTGGCCGCCGCCGTCGTTGCCGCCACCGGCGTTCAAGGCGCCAAACTGCGACATAATAGCCGCGTTCTGGCTCGCCAACATGGACGACTGCGCATTGATCTGCATCGCCTCCAGGGCCTCGAGCATCTGCTGCTGCTGCAGCTGCTGCTGTAGCAGCTGCGGTTGGTTATGGACGCCGTACTCGGCCTGCATGGCCGCCAGCTGCTGTTCCGCCAGCAGTTGCTCTGCCAGCATTTGCTCCTGCTTTTGCCGCGCGGCTTGCACGCTTTGCTTGTAGGAGGATCCGATCTGCGATCCTGTCTCGACAAACAGTTTGAATATGTCCTTGACAGCGCCGCGGAGCGAAGGCTGGGCTGCTGCATCACGCGGCAGGTCCCGCGACATCGTTTCCCCCGCAGCGTCTGCGGTATTCTCGGCAGCCGACGCCCTCGCCTCTCGTACCTCGCCGGCGGTCGCCGCCGCGTCCAAATGCGCCTGGAGCCCGTACCGATCGCTAATCCCCCGCAAGTACTGCTGGATCGCCACCAGGTACATGGCCTGCAAAAATTCCTCCCGGTCCAGTTGTCCATTGTGGTCCAGATCCGACTTCTCCCAGATCATATCAATGTCCTCGCTGCTCAGTTCTGACGCCGCAAACAGCTGCAGCGCATCGCTGGCCGTCACATACTTGGGCTCCTCCAAAACGCCCATCGTGCAAAGGTCCCACACCTCTTCTGCGACGCTGCGGATGTCGTCGGGCATGGCCAGCGTGTGCACAATGGCATCGATGCGCTCCTCATCTTCCGACCGATTCTGCTCCTGTTCCTCCGGAAGCAAGATCGAAGGAAGGGGTGAGGCTGGTGTCTCCACTGGTGTTTCTGGTTTGGAAGCATGTGTCGTCGTCGGTGAAGTGCCGGGAATGTACGGAGTCGAAACCGGAGTCAGTGGACCGCGAGTCTGAGCTTGCACTTGCGGCGTAGGTCTATGTGGTAGTGACTGGGAGGCTCGAGGAGGGAGATCGGGAGGTGGACCTGGGGGGGCTCTGGGAGGTGCCGATGCCGGTGGTGTTGGCGGCGGTGGAGGAAGCAGAGATGTTGGACCGGCTGCCGCCAAAAGATGCGCAGGCGGCCGCTGGTTGAGAACCACGTACTGCATGGCGTCGGCACTCAACCTGTGCTGCCGCAAACTATACGGGTACGCTTTGGCCGTGCTCCCCAGGAACGACTCAAACTCCAAAAAGAACAGATCACCGTCCCAAGGGCACAGTGTCGTCCGCTTGCTCAGGTGAAACCCAGCAGACAGCATGTCCACGCCCACGGTCAGTGCGCGCAACTCGGTCACCAAGCTCTCCGGCAGGCCTTGCCAGCGGAGAGCACCACCACGCGCCTTGACAAGGACACTGTCCGAAGGGCCCCAGAACACATACTCGAGCTGTGTTGGCTGGAGAGTGTTGCGTAGGGGCCCGGCAAAGTGAACAAAGTCGGAGGTAAGACCGACGAAAGCATCAGGGAACCTACCCGACGTCTCAGGCGACAGCATCACCTCGCCCGTGTTGAAGCGAACAAGGTACGCGCCGTAAGGTGAGAAACTCACATGATCAACGGCGGCGTAAGGCTGGGTCTGGCGAGCGATGTGGATTGACTGGAGGAAATCGGTGCGGTTGGAGAGGACTGTGCGAGGATCGAGGGTCAGTGCCGCGACTGGCAGACAAGAAGAGTCATTCTTTTCATATGTCTTATCCTTTTACTAACCATTTCCGTCCTTCAGCATCAAGCAATATGACCCATCCACGCCCGTTGACATCCAGTCAATGCGCGTGCCGCCAAGTGACTGATCCGCGAAGTGCTCCCCGAGAGAGTCCCAGACGGTCTGGATCGGAGGTGGTAGCTGCCGGCTGTTTTGTCAGCATGCAGAGTGTGACCACCACCAGAAAAGCAGCATAGGTGCCAACCTACCACGATGAGAACTGGTCGTTTCCCGTGGCCCACGACGAAGCCGACGGGCCGAAATAGAAAAAGACCATCGTGCCGGGTGTCGTCGTTTATGTTTTGATGATCAATTTGGAGGTCGAAGACTGCAGGACAAGGCACAAGATAATGGCAGCGTCTATTCGAAATCTAGAAAGCCAGGCTTTAAGAAAGCTTCCAGTCTTCACGGATTCTTGGTTTGTTTGGCTAGCTAGGCCTTCTTTTCAGGCCGACCTTTTATTTTCCATGTTTCGAGTCAAGCCACGCATTCGATGGCCCGACGATGCAAACCTGGACCAATAGAAGGCAAGAGAAGACAGGGCAAAAGCAGGAAAGGGGGTTCAGCACTTTGCTGCAGTTTTTGACAGTCTAGAACGCATTGGTCATGCAGTGCAACTATTTGTTCTTGTTTCTAGTCGTTACCGTCTTCCTGGTGCTCAGCCCACGCCATGCCTATTCAGCCTCAGCAGAGCGTCGATTTGGTTAAGCTTGCGGCTTGATTCCGCCTGGTTCAGCAGAACGACAGAGTATCTCACGTATTACGACGGATATATATTATCTGCCTTGGCCCCTCTTTCTACAACAGGCTTAGTTAGGCTGCCTGTTTGCCCATTCTCAAACAATTGATATGAATTTTTTGTTTTTTATTCTCATTTGTGTTCTCGCGCCTCGGTTTAGTTTGCCTTGGCTGAAATCGGCGACATGCATGAACCCTCTCAGACATTTTATGGAAGCACAAATGCGAGAGACAATCGTGGGGCAAAAAAAGACAATGATGCTGTGGTCTGGTAAAGTGTTATTTCCCCTTTTTTTACTTTTCATTTTTTTATTCTCAGTTGCCCCTCATATTTTCCACTGTTTACAAATGTTCTAATTAAATTACAAAAAGAAAGGGAAATAAAAGCTTCCTCGTTGTCGTTTTCAATGGCCAGCTCCAAGGTCCATTATTAAAACGTACATGTACCATACGCCTTTACCCGCCGGATATTTTCCGCTGCCACCCATGTCCCGATCCAATTCTCTCCGTTCGGTTCCCCAGATTCGCCTCTATTGCAAGGTAGTAGACGGAGCAAAAAGCATAAAATTAATATATTGTCTTACGAGATGTGACATAATGCCCTTTTGTAGTGTCCGCAGCAGGCTTTCTGGACAGCGTGTTATTGCCACAGTGTATCACTTGGTGCTTCCCAGAGGATGAACGAATATGTCGCGATCTCGCAGGATCCCAGCCAGCTTAACACGTCGTTAGGGAAAGACAGATAGAAGGCAAGAACAAGTGGTCTGTCTTGCCCTAGCTCTTTTCACGATACTCCTTCACCCTTATAGTGTCGCCTTTCCTTGCATCTCATCATGCTCAGCCAACAGATATCGACGACGGGACTGCTGGTGCTCGTTGGCCTTGCGACGTCCTTCACTGGGCTGCCTGGAGCAGAGGCGGCGCTGGCGACGCAGGTTCGCGTCGTGGAGCCCACCGTCCCCGGTACATGCCTCGTCAAGGCCGTCAACCCCTTCTTGCGGGCGGTCTACAACCACTGCCCGCCGCCACTGACCGACATCAAACGCATTCGACCCTATCGCAACCCGCCGCGCTATCCATGGACGCACCCTGTGCGCTGCCTCAAGACCAAAGGCAGTGAGGATACCCCGCGAAAGGGCTACGACATCCGGTACTGCCTGTACTCGGACTCGGTCTTGGGCGGACTGCATGGCGTCAGTCTGCTCACCGCGCCTGAGATTGCCGCCGACGTGGTCAGCGCCGACGCCCTCGAAGACCGGCCGTATTATGGCGGATCGCGCCACCGCGACTTTGTTCCGGGGCCCATCAACGGAGCCTACACGATCCAGCCCACCCCCGGCAAGGGCCTCGGTGTCGTGGCGGCACGCAAGATTGCACAGGGCGAGATTGCCATGCTGGACCTGCCGGCCGTGTTGCTCAGCAAGGCGTTTTTGGAGGACACGGCACCGTTGCCTCGTCGGCGGTTGATTCGGCGCGGCCTTTCGCAATTGCCCGCGGAAACTCAAAAGCGGGTGTTTGCGCTGTCGATGAGCACCGGCGGCGACGTCGTGGATGCCATCCTGGGCACCAACACCATCAGCCTGGCGTTGGGGATGAATCAGCTGCATCTCGGTCTCTATCCTGAGCTGTCGGTAGGTCCTTGAGAAATCGGCGCCCATAAATGAAGAAAAGAAGAAGCTAACCTCTTGAATAGCGAATCAACCATGCCTGCAACCCAAAGTAAGTTTATCATACCCCCGAGAGACATATCGGGCCTCTTCTAACAGCTCAACAGTGCCTATTACCGATTCTCGCACCGGACGCTCTCAATTGAAGTCGTGGCCTATCGGGACATCCAGCCCGGCGAGGAAATTACCATCAGCTGTACGTGATGAGCATTCGTGATTAGTGGCGCACATGCCACGTCAGTCTTGAACGTACTCTATTTCCAGTGCTGACCTTCCTTGTCTCCTCCTCCCTCCCTAGATGCCCAGCTTACCCTGTCCCGCACAGAGCGTCGTGCGTTCCTGCAAAACAACTGGCACTTCAACTGCAGCTGCTCGCTTTGCCGCGCCGACCCAGACGCCATGACCCTGTCCGAAGACCGCCGCCGCGACATGCGCAAACTGCAGGCCACCCTGGTCCAGGCCAGCCGCAGCGGCGAGTACGACCTGGCGCTTCTGACCGCCGAGACACTCCAAGAGACCACCGAGGCCGAGGGCGTCACGCCGCTGCACGCCGAAATGTACGACATCGTAGCATCCATCCACTTGGACATGCGCAACTTCAACCAGGCTGAGCGCTTTGGCCACATGGCCCTCGAAGCATGGGAGCGGTTTGACAGCGTGGACGACTCGCAGTTGGTGGCGGCGCGGTGGTTTTTGGCGTTTGTGGAACAGGCGCGCAGGGCGGACGAGGCGGAGCGGCTGAAGCGGGAGCGAGATGCGGCGGACGAGGCTGCGATGGAGGATTCTCTTGAGGACTTCTTTTAGATGGGCCCCAAGAAGCTAGGTGTCAACATTGGCCGAGAAAACATACATTCATGGCTTGGATGTGAATGTGAAATGCCAAAATCATAATATCGTATTCAATGATAAATCAAAAACCGACAATCAATTAAAGATGCGAAAGAAAAAACATGTCATGGCCATTTCATAATACTCATCGTAATGCAGATGTGTTCTGAAAGCAATCAGAAACTGAAAACAACGTGGCGCCTCCAAATCACGTCCAGATGCTCAAATCGCTTTGCTTGTTGCTGGCAACAGACACTTGGGTGAAGTCTCAAAACGAAGGCTCGAAATGCCGGAAAAACAAGTAAAATGTCCAACAGAGAAGAAACATAAAGGCAAGAGACAGAAACAAGAGAAAAAAACAGAACAACAACAATGGTAGCTCATAAACATAAAATGCAAACAGATTCAAATAAAAAACAGCTCCCATCCAGAAGCAACCTTGCAATTTTGCCACTATAAATATGGGCACGTCTTCTATCAATACCAACACCGACAACTCAAGTCCTGAGGACGGCGAGTGATAGAAGAGGATTAAAACAGAATCAGAAAGAGTAAAGTGCTAATAAAGGTAAACACTTTGCTCTCCTGACCTTGAACCGTGAACATCCGTTGTCCTTTCGGAAGCAACCGGATGACAATGGCGTTATGGTGCTCTGCTGGGATGCAACGATAAAAACCGAGCCGAGGACTGGGCGGTCATAAAACGGTAAAACAATAAAACAATGCCAAAAAATCAGACAAAAAGTGAGCAAGATCGTGGTGTTGGGATACCACAGGGTTAGAATTGCAACCCCGACGAGAAGCCCGCAGAACTCAATCGATGCACATGTCCAGAAGATCTTCCGCATACCTGTCGAGCTCAATGATGCGGAATCGGCCAGTTCCTTTCTCCTTCCGCTCCAGGTCACGCCAGGCGCTCGAGATCCCCATTTTCCAGGAGAGCAGCTCGACACACCAGCCCAGGACCAACGCACGTTGGACGTGCTTAAAGAATCCATCCGAGAACTCGGCCTCGGCCGCATCACCTGTTGCTAGGACAATGGTACCGGGGTCATGATCCAAAAGACTGTGGCACATCTTGAGCTGTAAGATTTCGTCAACGGCTTGCTCGCCGATTTTCTTGGAGTGTGAGTTGGCGGTAACACCTTCGTCAGATGAGTAACTATCTGCGAACAAGTTGTTCCCGGTGTTGTGGCCACGGCTTGTGCTCTTCTTGTGGCCAATATTGTTATAAACGTTGTTGCTGTTGTTGTAATGCTTGGTGGACGACTTCAGCTTCGGTGATGGGGGAAGCTTAGCGACACGGCCAAGAATATTCATCTCGTAGTTCAGGGCAGCTGCCTGCCGCATATACGCCGGCCAAGTCCGTCGGTCGTAGTAGTCCGGTGCAGACCCCGTTGTGACAAGGCGTGCAGAAGGCCGATTGCGCTCGAGGATGCGCGCGAAACCGTCAAAGAAAAAGGGTGGCGCCGTCATCTTTTTGTCTTGGGTGAAACCACGGTCAATTTTAATGCGGTTGTAGAATCCAATCACAATGTTCGAGAGATCCACGAAAACATGGAGAAGACCAGCGTCCGGTGATACCGCTTCAGCCCCGGGAAACTTCAGCGCGCGGTCCCGTTTGTATTCGGGCTTGAGCTTCATCTCAAGCAGAGCCAGTTTCTCTTGTTTGGTATGCCACGACAGAGGTTGGATAGGATGGTTGAACATGGGCGATCCGGCCGTGGGGGACGAAAAGAGCAGCGAGGAAGAAAGGGGGTAGGGCAAGTCGTATTGGCCCATGGCCTTGCTGTAACCCATGCTACCAGGCGTGCCGACGAGACCGGGAGTTCGTTTGGGGGACTTCAAGATGGACATTGGCCGTGTTGGCGTAGCTACATCGGCCACAGCAGCGGCGGCTTTGACAGTCACGGTTGCGATACCAGTCGGCGGCGAAGCGGAAGGCGAGGCGATGACCACTGTATTCAGGCTCGCCGCGTAGAGGTCGGTCGGGGCGGGAAGAAGAATTCCTGCAGTAACACCATCCACGTCTCTGGTCCTGTCGTCGTCCTCTCCACCACTGCCATCCTCTGAAGTCGTGTCGGGAAGAAGAGAGCCTGGAGTTCCGCTCGGAGAGCCTATCGTAGAGAAGTCGAGGCCGCTTAAGAAGCCGGCATTGTAGGCAGACCCGCGAAGGGCGTCGACCGCCGAGCCAGAAAATGTAGACAACACAGCAGGCGCAGACGCGTGAAGAGACTTCACGGGATCGCCCGGGTTGGCGGTCGTGAGTTGGTCGAGTGCCGAGGAGACACCGGCGGGCCAATCGTCGAAAATAGAGGCGAAGTTGCCCAACTTGGGCGAAGGAGGGCGCGTGTTAGCCGGCGACGAGACATTGTGTCCGCCGCCGGCGTCCGGTAATGGTCGAGATAGTAAGAAAGAAGGTTCGGGCATGGCGTCGGCGGTTACCTCGACATGGAGAGAAGGAGGGTGGCAAACGGCGGTCGGGAGCGTGACATGGCCGCAGCGTTGAAAAGGCTGGGTAGGACGTAAAGTAACTAATACGACACGCTGTGCAAGGACATCAGGGCGATGTGTGGATGAGAGGTAAGATTAGTTGGTGCTGTCGATGAGATTGCTTGTACTTTTTGGGGGACGGAATGAGAACGAGCAAACAGCAGAAATAGAGATATTGAGAAGGGACAACCCCCGGGTTATGTTCGGGCCTGTGTGGAAGGCAAAGCAGCGGGAAGGTGCTGTGTCAGTCACCGCAAGGCCAGTGTCAAATTAGTGCAATGGTCTGTGACTCGATTTTTGCAGGGTTGGGCAGGGAACTGCTTGTTTGTGCGCTAAGAGGGGCGGAAAGAACGGAGCGGCAAAGACAGCGAGTGCTGGCGTGCTGCCCCACCCAGCCATCCAGCCATTCCTTCCCTGCGAGCCTGTCGTCCATTAACTCATTCTGATGCGAATCCACACACGCCACTTACTCCTGCCTTTACCAATCAGAGATACTGGCCGCTTTGCTGGCAAACGCTCATTTCTGCACAGACGGACAGGACCACGCATGAAAGTAAAACGGACACAAAGAAATCAAGCATACGAATACATTCATGAGGTTAAAAGGAATTAAGAGTATGAAACGCCGATTCCTGATTCACCGACCGCGCAAGAATAACAGAATGGCCTTCCCACTACGATCGCCTTGCGTGGCCGATGAATGGGATTCTTCTAGTCTGCCCTTCAGTGAACCTCCTGTGCTTGACTGCCAATGACGTTTGTTACTTCTCTTCGTACAGTCGGGAGAGTGTATCTTATCTGTTTTTTTGCTCTGAAATGAGCTTGTCATAGCGAACACACCCAGGCATTGAGTATCGGAATGTCTGTCATCCAGGCTGCTCCTTCTTTCTTGGGCTGCTCTTGCCTCTTCAGCCTCTTGCCCAAGTCTAGACCCCGCATTCTACGTTCGGAAGGCACCGCAGCCCCTGTTGGCAACATGGGCCCTAAGGCCTGGCCAACCATACCTGCCACATCCGAGCTAGGCAGGCGACCCAATGCGTCGTCTCTGAGGCAAGGGCACTACTGTGACTGGCGGCACGGCACAGGCAGGAAGCTGCTGAAAGTCGCTTGTAAGCCTCGCCGCCAATTGACGTTTCCATACGCTTCCGTTTGTCTCCATCGCCGCCTTCATCAAAGCACGATTTGCACTTCCGCCCGCCTCCCAGCACGACTTCACTTTCTCTTCAGACATGTTTTTGAAATAGTTTTCACTTTTCTTTTGCCCTATCCAACTTTTCTTTCTTCTGTCCGCCGCGAAATTCGATCTCGCTCGACAGAACCGTTGATCTTCCAAACAAAAGCAGCCAAGCCTTGTGGGCGTCAAGAAAGCTTCAACAACCTAGCCTTCCGTTAGATATATAGAGACATCGAGCTTCGCTCTGTGCACTAGCTTGCCCACAATGTAAGATGGCTGTCCCCCATCGGCGTCCTCTGTGCTCAAGCCCACCATTTTTGCTTCACCTTCCACGCGCACCGTCCTGCCTCGTGTCGCGTGCTGACAAATGTGCCAAACCTCTAGGCAAATCACGGTGACCGTGTCGAGGGCACACAGCGACGAGCCGGATCTGCTGTCGCTCGAGGTGTACCCTGAAATGACCGTCGAGACGCTCCAGAGTTCCATCGAAGCCGAGACCTCGATCCCGCCGAGTGCGCAGCACCTGTACCACGATGGCAACCTCATCACCGACAAAGCACAGACTCTCGAGGCCCTCCATGTGACCAACGGGGACATGATTGCTATGCACATCCGCGAGCCCAGAAACCCGGGCGCTGGCTCTGGCGCAAGAGCTTCGCAGCAGGCCGGCGGCGCGGCGGCAGCGGCAGGCACCCGGCAGCGGCAGCCGGGCGAGCCAGACCCCGAAGTGATTCGACTGCAGATCTTGGGCGACCCGCGCCTGCGGGAAGAGGCCATACGGCAGCAGCCACAGCTTGCATCCGTGATTGACGACCCGCAGCTGTTCGCCCAGTTCTTCAACAACAACTACGACCGGGAACGGCGCGAGCGTCAGGACCGCCAACGCCAGATTGCACAATTAAACGCGGACCCATTCGATATCGAGGCACAGGCGCGCATTGAAGAAATCATCCGGCAAGAGCGTGTGATGGAAAACCTCCAGAATGCAATGGAGCACAACCCAGAAGGTAGGCAGTGGTCGGGCCCACGTCTTATTCGTCGACGAATTTTTTGCTAACTCTCTCTCCTCAAGTGTTCGGTCGCGTGCACATGTTGTATGTAGACGTGGAGGTGAACGGATACAAGGTGAAGGCCCTCGTCGATTCGGGCGCGCAGGCCACCATCATGTCTCCGGGCTGCGCCGAGGCTTGCGGCATCATGCGGCTTGTGGACAAGCGTTTCGCGGGTGTGGCGCGTGGTGTCGGAACGGCCACGATCATCGGCCGTGTGCACTCCGCACAGATCAAGATCGGCAGCCTCTTCTTGCCTTGCAGCTTCACTGTGATGGAGGGAAAGTCGGTCGACCTGCTTCTCGGCCTGGATATGCTAAAGCGCTATCAAGCATCCATTGACTTGGCCAAGGACCGCCTGATTATCCAGGATGTCGAGATCCCCTTCCTCGGCGAGGCGGACATTCCCAAGGACTCGGAGGAGGCACTGGCCGAGGAGCCAACGTTTCCCGGCCCCAGCGGAACGACAATCGGTCAGCGCTCGGGTGTCGTTTCTGGGCCAGAGGGTCAAGAGGGCTCGAGCGCAGAAGCGGCACAAGTACCGCCTGCAGCACCAGCAGCCGCCTCAGCGCCAGCTCGGCCTCAGCCTCAGACGCAGACTCAGCAGCAGCCGCTCCCCGCGCAACACCCGCACAAGCTGCTGCACGCTCGCCGCAGCCACCTGCCGCAGGCGGTGCCTCATTTCCAGAAGAAGATGTTCAGCAACTGATGGCGTTGGGGTTCCCGCGGGAAGCTGTCTTGCAGTCGCTGGAGGCTACTGGTGGAAACGTGCAATATGCGGCGAGTTTGCTCTTCCAGGTATAGACTTGAAGGGGAGATTTATAGTGGTTGTACAATCGACAGCATCAAATACAGGACACGGACGAGACGTTAAATAGCAGTCGAGATCAGCCATAAGGATGTGCATGGTTATCAATATTGGGCGATGGGCCTTATTGGCTATTGGCATTACTTTATTTAGGGATATAGCTTGGTTTTTGCTCAAGGTTTCTGTTTTGACCTCATCGACGAACGAATTGGCGATGCACTTTATTCGTCTCTGACGCGTGCCCCATTTCGTGTAAACGTATCAAGTGGTGCTCATGATGTCATGTTTACAAACAGAGGTACCCGTATCACTACATTGTCTCGACCAACAAACCAAACAAATTGCTCCTGGAAAACGCCATGAACAGATATCTACTAGAAAACGCAACGGTGACCAGAATATTACCGCAGCTTGTACACACACGGCTTGAGGATCTTTGCCTCCAGCGCCGGGTCGGCCATGGGGTCTGCGTTCCGGTCGTTCTTGTCGTCGTCGAACACCGACGGCTTTTTGGCGCCGCCATCGCTGCCCCGGCCACCATTGAGTGACTGCATGACCTCCTCCTTGCCAACCATCGGCGGCGCCGCCTTGATGAAGCGCATCTTGACAAACATCTTGTTGCTCAGGTCCACCGCAGGCGGCTTGCCACCCGTCGCCTTGGGCTGGCCATCCTCGCCGGCGGCAGCACTCTCGTCCAGGACAAAGCCACGACGGCGCAGCGCCTGCACAAAGGCAGACACATCGGTAGCACCCGCGCTGCCACCTTCATCAGCGCCGTCCACCTCGCTGATTGCGGCAGCCACAACATCCGGGTCGTCCTCGTCCTGGCCAGCCTTCTTGCCACCCTTGATGCCATTCTTTCGCCGGAAGCCAACGCTGTGCGAGACGGGACCTTTTTGGTTCGCCTGCTGCTTCTGCTTGAGACGTGCGCGCATCTCCGCACCGCCCGCAAAGCGGCTCTTGATCTCCGCCACCCACAGCTCGCCCTTCCACCGCAGCACGCGGTAGGCCTCCTCGACAAAGGACAGCCAGTTGGTGCCCATGAGTGCGAGGCAAAACACGGTGACGTCGACGGACCCTGGGCCCAGCGGAAGGTCCGAGGCGTCCGCGGCCGCCGTAATGAACGGGTTGTTGGGGTCGGCGTGCAGATCAAAACTCAGCACCTCGATGCGGAGGGCCGCAGCGTCGGGCGCAAGCGAAGCAGCCAGGCGCGCATCGCCGCAGCCAATGTCGGCGAGACGACACTGCCCATGGGTGCGGGGCAGGGTATCCGTGGGGTCACGGTGGTGATGGCCACCAAAGCCGCCACGGCCGCCACGACCGCCTCGTCCCCGACCGCCACCTCCCGACTTCCCGCCAGAAGCACCCTTGCCGGCGCGGCGGCGCACCTCGGCTACGTAGCCGTCGACGGGGTTCTCGGGCCAGACCGAGACCTGCTGCCGGAAGCCCTCATGGTAGGCGTGGAACATGTCGGGCGACTCGCCAAAGAGACGCAGGGCCTCGGCGGACGGAGTCGTATAGAGGGTCTCGTTGAGGTGGCGGAAGCGAGCGGACACGAGCTTGGCACGCATGGACGCCTGCAGCGGCGTGAGCTTGGGACCGGCCGGCGGAAGAGAGAGGACGCCAGCAGTGGCAGCGGCCGGGGACGCAGCAGCAACAGCAGCAGCTGCTGCAGATGCGATGGGCTTGTCCTGCTTGAGCTTGTCTGCCTTTTGCTTCTTGCTGGGCGTCTGCTCTTTTGGCGTGGTCTGAACGTCCTCCATTTGGACATCTTCGCGTTTTTTCTTGTCCTTTTTATCCTTTTTATCCTCATGTTCCAGCTTCTCGGTTTTTGGTGTGTGCTCGAACGTGTCGGCCTCGGCAGCCTTGACTTTCTTCTCCTTCTTGTCCTTGACTTTTCCGCTCTGTGTCGACTGGTCGGACTTCTCGCTTGCTACCGGGACATTGTCGATGCGTGCATTGGCCCCGGCCTTCTTCGCAGGCTTAGCCTTGTCCCTGTCGGCCGTCTCCTTGGACGTGGGGGACTTGGTCGGGATCGGGATCGGTTTAGAAGCCTGCTGCGCAGCAGCCGGCTTGTTTGGTTTCGTTGCCGGCTCCGTCTCGCCTCCGACCTCTGACTTGTCCTTCTTGCTCCGTCTTGACTTCTTGGACGGTGGAGCACCGCCCTCGGTGCGCTGCGACGGATCCCTCTTCTCGATCACGCGTTCCCACATCTCGGCGAGGTTCTTGCTCGTGATCTGGGGACCACTAGACTCTCTCTTGGCAGCCTTCTCCCGCTTCCGCTTCTTGGCGGCCGGCTCGGCGAAAAGTGCGGTCGCATTGGCACCAGTGCCCTTGGTCGAGTGGCCCTTGACGCCCTTCTCTTGCGGTGGAGGCTTGTTCAGAGTCTCTGTCTTGAGCTTGTCGGACGGAACCGACCAGCCTGGGACAGCGAACATGGCGAGGGAGTGGAGGATGTAAGTCGAAAACGTAGCAAGTTGCTGAGGGTTGCGATCCGAATGCGTCCGTCTGAACAGTTCGACTGTACGTTTCAACGTAAAGTAGACGTCGGAAACTTGGTGAAGGGAAGCAATAGCGGATAGGCGATAATGAAAAAAATAAAAATTATGGGGCACCTCAACGAGCAGCGCCAATCACTGCTTCAGCATGCCTTATCGATAAGCATCGTCTCTTACTGACGCTGTTGAAATGATGGGTAACAGTCAACACAACATGACTTCCACAGTTCATACACTGAACTTGTATATTCTTTTGTCAAATTGTTATGCTTCTTATATTATCAGACTTTTAGTAAGATAAACGGGAACGAACCGTTTGCCTACTGTTCCATCCACATCCCGTCGTGTTCCCATCGCATTTACTTATAGACATTGCTCCAAGATCTGGACAACCTGCTCCACCTTCTCCAAAGGCACCGGGTTTGTCTTACACATCCAGTCTTTTAAGCTCAGGGTCGCAATGCTCTCGAGCTTGTCGCGGCCGATTCCATAGTGCGACAGGGCCCGCGGCAGGTCGAGCGCGCGGATGATCACATCGAGGGTGTCGCCCAGATCGGCCGTGTCGCGCTCCAGCTTGCCTTGCTTTACCAACACCTCGGCGACAATGGGTTCGTCCCAGAGCGTGTCCAGCACAAGCTTCTGCTGGTCCTTATTGACGCGCGCGTTGTACTTGAGGACAGCCGGGAGCAAAACGCAGGTTGTTTCTAGTTGACGGGCAGATGATTAGTTTCGAACGGGGAAAAACACAAAAGAACGGCGAGCTGACTGACCGGCGTGAGGCACACCCTGCGGGCCCAGCTGGTGGCCGATTCCATGGGACGCGCCCAGCTCGACACCGTACACAACAACGCCCTTCATGCTCCGGCCGGCGCCGAGCTGGGCTTGCAGACGCGCGTCCAGGTCGTTGGCGTCCTTCTTGCAGCGAAGCAGCGCCGGGATCAGCTGCCGGATGCCCTGCAACGCGGCCGCGGTCGCCTCCGGCTTGGGCCCGCGGGAGCACACCGTCTCGACACAGTGGTCGACGGCGCGCATGCCGGTGGACAGCCACACGCTTGGCGGCGCGGTCAGCGTCAGCCGCGGGTCGATGACGATGACGCGGTGGCCCGCGTCGGGCGACGGGTCGTAAAAGAGCTGCTTTTGGTGCGTGCGCTCGTTGGTAGCGCCGCCAAAAGAGCTGTACTCGCCGGCCGAGAGTGTGGTCGTCGCGCACATGTAAGGAATCTCTGAGCTCTTGACATCGTGGCCGCCGCCGGAGCCGCTGCGTTCGGCCAGCGTCTCAAAGGCCTCGTGCGAGTCGACGCCGTTGGCCAGAGCGTACGACAGGACCTTGGCGCCGTCCACGAGGCTGCCCCCGCCCACGACGATGATCGAGTCTGCCTTGGTGGAGCGAATCTCGGCGAGGATCGGCAGCAGGTCCGCGTACAGCGTGTGTGAGCGGATGCCCTCTTGGACGGCTGCAACCTCGACGCCGGCGGTGCGCAGACGCTTGGTCAGGCGGTCAACGACATCCGTGTCGCGGCTCAGCGACCCAGACACGAGCAGATACGGCCGTGAGCGCTTCACAGTTGATGTCAGGTGATTTGCAATTGCGTCTTCGTAAGGTAGGCCGTAGGTGATGATTGGCAGTTCCTTGGATGGGTTGAAGCGCTCGACGTGTTCGGCCATTTTATAAGTTATCAATGCTGCTGGTAGGTGGTAAGCGTAAAAGACACTTCGGTAATTGGCCGAGTACAATACGATACCTAATATGCAAGACTCGTGTCGCAAAAATCCACAGATAATCAACTACTTGATATGTCAATATATGGTGTGAAGTATAAACCCGCAGGTCAATGACGTTCTGCGATCTCGTTCCCCACTCTGACTCCGATTACCAACCGGCCGCCCTTTCCCGCCGTCCAACACCGGACACTGGCGCTCGTGTGGTTCGCTGAACTGCCCTGAAGTGCAAATCCACCCCACCATTTTGTAGTACCATTAGTCGCGTATGGCGGGTCGACCTGCGGCCGGACGTTCTGAGCGAGGCTGAAAGTGACCACCATATACGACATAGATGGTTAGAAATCACACAAATGAGCATTTTGAAAGAACCGGTAATACGGGCTTCGTGAAGTCCTCCGTGCGGCTCGACACACCTTACTTTTTCAATATATTTGAGGTTTGCACAGCTTTTGCCGTAATATGACGGGGAACCACACTCCTTCGTGGTACAGGTTTGTCATAAGGGTGAAATACATGAAGGAGACGGCGCCAACAGTATTCCATATCGGTCACATGTAAGCAAGTACAACACGATAACGCGCAGACGGCTGCTGTGTTCGGTGTTGGGACAGAGGACACCCAAATCTCGAGACGAACCAGCCGCCTGGCAACGGCAATCGACAACGGTCGGGTTCTTTCCTTCCTTCACGGGGAGACACGACCATAGAGCAGAAAGTGTCCGTTTGCATCAGCGAAATCTCACTTCATACTATGTGTGGAAGGAGCAACTGGTGTGACTCGGCCGCGGACACTCATGGCTGCTACGAACTGCAATGGCAAGCGCGACCTTTTCGGTCAGGGCGAAACGGCGATGGCGAGGGACCCAATATCCACGACACCGCAACTTTTCCTCGTATTGGCATGACAGACGGCCACAGTTTCGTGGCGCTTTGCTCGAGTAATACAGCAGACGACGTACAGTCGTACACGCCCTTGTGCTGGGAGACCTCTCTTCGTACGGACTGTCTTGGTCCCTCCTTCCCTTTTTTGTATCTCGTCCTCCTTCTCCTTCCCCTCCTTCCGTTTCTGATCATGCCCAGCTACTGTGTTTTGCCATGTCACGGCCTCTCCTGCCCATCTCGTCGTCAAATTTGCCACCACAACCTCGTTGTTTCACCCTTGTCCCTCTCTGCTCTCAGCACCCACTTCGTAGAAAGGAGGGCTCAAGCACCATGATGGAAAGGAGAAGAGCAGCGGAGGACGCAATATACCGCAGTTGGGTTCTGCTACACGACATGAGTTTAGGTTGTGGGTCTCTTTCTCGTACATATGCAGCTCGTGAAGGTCCCTGGTCACTTATGGCTTGCAGGCTGTTCGGCTCATTTTGTTGTCCAGTCCACCGATGCTGTCCTTGCCCCTATGCACCAACCTCTATACCCTGATCTCCCCTGAATTCCGACTTCTTCTACCTTCTCCCTTGGTCTGCCCTCATCTGAGGCGGCTGCTACACAACGTACGCACTGGTCAACCACCTATCTCGGGCATTCTTCTTGGGACGGTGCAGAGGCCCTCGCTTTCTTTCTCTCTCTCTGTTTGGATGTATGAAGAAGGCAAGCTTCGAGCTGTCCGCTCCCGCATCCGATGCTACCTAGCGTTTCTTTTTTCCCTTCTCTTTTTTATTCATGTAATTATATAGGGCAATTTAGTAAGTGATATGCAGTTGCTCTCACAATAGTCGATTTCGACTATTATTCCACTTCTTTCTCATAATTCCCTTCTGTCAATTTTTGAATAAGGCACTTGCGTTGTGTATTTCCTTTTTTCGGTATGTCAGCAGTCTTCGTACGGCAGGCTCCATGTTCACGCGGCTCTGCTCAAGTCTTGTCCTCAACCTCGACGTCTTTGTCAACTCCTCGGCCCTCTTCCTCGACTCGGGTGCATCTACATCGTGGGGACAAAAAACGTAAAGAAACGCAAAAAATAAGCGTTTGCCACCAAGTCGTTGTTGCCGCATTGCTGAGCAAACACCGTGCGGACTTTTATCAACTTCCTCTCCACGGGATTGGCCGTATGCCGCTACGCAAATGGAGAAAATCTCAGAGGGTCTGGCCCTCCCAGGCAAACGGGGCGAGGTGAAATCTGCCCACCGATATGCGCTAGCCAGGGGTATGCAGTAGCCTCACCTCCCGAGGTTCTCTCTGAGCCTTTTCAGGCTGAGAGCTGGTCAGTGATGAACGGATAACGAATTGCTCTCGGGAACAATGATACAAGCCAGGTATTATTGCATTGTATGACGGCTACTTTGCAACGTTGGACTTGCCCCTGCTGCTCTAACATGATATGCAGCAAGCACAAAAAACGCCCAGCAACAAAGCTTTTCTGTGCTTCCTCCCGGTCTGATGCAGCTACATAATTATTGAATGGAGTTTGTAGCCGTCGATCGCGAATGCTGGTGCTGTGGATCCCCGATGCTGCACGCCTTCCTACCTCTATGCTGCTCGAGCGACCCACGGCGCCTTCCTTCCTTCCACTCCCCAGCGTTCTTCATACGACTGCCTGGTTGTTTACGCCCATCACTCCACGTGCTTACCGGTTTTGGAGCTCCTACAGCTTCCTCCTCACTTGGCTCTTTACTTTACATTTTCTCCTCAAGTTTCCTCCTCACTTGGCTCTTTACTTCACATTTTCTCCTCACGTTTTCCCCATCAAAACAACCTTTCCCGCCCTCGTCCTTCATCGTCTCCATCACAAGGACCCCCGGTCCCAACCCATCCCCACTCTAGCCTGTCTCTCGTCGTTGCCTGCACTCCGCTGAAAGCTTCCTACAGTTCTCGTCTAATCTAATGCCATTTTCGATTCTCTTTCTCAACATTTGTCGACAACTTTACCCCTAGAGATCTTTCCCTCTATCCTTCAATTTTACGGTGCAAATCCCACCCTACCGCATCACTATCACTCACCCTTCCATCCCGTACGACAGCGGCTGCCAGCGCCCGTCCCCCGGTGCTGTGTTTACAACCTCATTCTGCACCCACTTGCCGGCATCCAACCAGTTGCTGCATGTCAAGGCACAAGGCCCTTCCTAGGCATGCGACGACGAGCCCACACACTCCAGACAGTTCGGCCAATCTCTTGCTTGTAGGCAATGGCCCTTCTTCGGCGCCCGCCAGTGCATTAAGACCCGCCATATATGATCTCAAGGGCGTACCGCGTAACATACACTACACAAGGCACCAGCGTTGCCAGCTTCGGGTTTAGCTTCTTCTCATGCTCGCTTTCAAGTATTTCGACACTTCAGTCCACTGAGAACGACCTGAACAGCATCCTCTTGCCTACACCGCTGTTTTTATTTTCTGCTTTGTCAAAAACAATCTTTCTGGCATTTCCAACTAGCGGGGCCTCTCAGTGTTGCCATCTGGTGCTGTGCCCTGTCCTGCCCTTTCAACCTTGCTCTGAGCTCCCTGTCTTTGTCTACCTCTCTGGGTTGCAGCCTCGACAGAGCGCAACTGCTTCCCGACACCCCACTTTAATTGCCGTCTCGCCGGCCCCTCTTCATTCTTGCGATCAATCGCTACGCCTCGTCTATCGTCGTCACCTTGTTGAATCGGCATTCCACTCTCAGCAGCTCGGACAGACCCTCGTTTTTTCACACCTTATTCACACCTTCTTCTCATATTTGAGAGGACTTGTTTTGATCGCCCAAAAACGCTCAGGGACAAGATGCTGTTCTCGTAGAGCAACAGTCCGCAAATCAGCCAACAGACCGCCTAACTTCTCAAGGTCTTTTACTGGTCCACGACCTACCCGGCAGCATCTCACCCGACTTTCCTTTCCCGCATCATCTCAATCGCTTTCGTTGTTCGAAGCTGGTCCCGTCCAACCCGGCCCAGTTTTCTGTGGTCGAAGAACCCGGTACCTTGCCTCCCTGGGAAGGTTCTGGCATCAGGTCTTTTCCTGGCCGACAGGCCACCTCAGCTGTCACGCTCGCCGCATCTCGCTTCCTCGACCTGCTTGCTCGTCAGAGACTGGCAGGGTGCCTTGTGTGTGCAACCGACCGTATTTGTCCACCACCACCGGCCACCGTTACACGAAAGCTGTCTCACTCGTCATACTCTTTGTGTTATTTTTACTTTTCTGGCTGCAATTTCATTTCTCTGCCAAGGAATTCGTCTTTTTTATTTATTTTCCCCCCGGGTCCTCTTGCTGCCTCGACGAAGGACAAAGACAAACCAGAGCCAGATCACCTAATCTGTATCGTACAGAACGACTCCTTGGGGACCTGCAAAAGTGACTGAAGAGGACCCTGCAAGTGTACAAGTGAATTGGGAAGAACCAGCCTTCGACAAGGATTCTGCAGCAGATGAAATCTCACACTGGCAACCACGGATCCAAATAGTCAAGCTCGGCTCCAGCAAAAGGGAACAACACCCCAGATACACTTGCTGCTGTGCAGAACCATCCTTTCCTGACACATGCACATCCGCTCCTCTAATCACTTACGCCGAAAGGATTGGTCTCCTACTCCCACAGAGTCTCTGTCATATCCCCCATGCGGCGACCCTTCTCCATATCTGCGAACGCGGTTGCCCACAGGCGCGAACTCCGACCTGCTGCTTTGTTCCGGCCGATTGATAGTCTGAGCCCTGCTCATTGTCTCACTGCCAGAGCGCACGGCAGAGAGGAGAGTGAAATCAACCGCAAAAGGGACTGGCTTCGGAGGTTGCTTCTAGAGCGCATAGTACGTGCATAATCAAGGGTGCCTTGCTATTTTTCCCGTTTTGAGCCTGGCCAGAGTCGGACTCCCACATCACTCGCCTTGGCTTTCCTACCTTGTTCAGTCTTCACCGGCCAACGCCCCCCTCGTTGTTTCTTCTATACGACCTCCAGTCCCTTGCGGGGTGACGAGCGTGGTCGGTTCTTGAGGACCCTCGTCTTTTCCTCTTGAACACCTCTTGCGAGCTCGTTATCGATCCCTCATTATCGATCCTTTGTCGCCTCTGGCCAACATCGTCGTCCCGCCATCCTACAGTCTATACCTTATTCGAATAACAAAAGACAGTTTTATTACTTGAAAAGTAGTCCAAGCCGCCCCAGCTTTCGACGGCCTCTCGAGCAGAGCGAACGCTAAACGTACAATTCGGATCTCCTGGCAGTATGGAATCAGAAAATTTGCAACCTGGGTCGTCGGACACCCGCCGCATGTCGGCCGCTGATAACCAAGAGCCTTCTCAAACTTCAACGGCCCAAAAGCCAGTTGTGAAGAAGCGAACAAAAACAGGCTGTTTAAGTAAGTTCAGAACGCGTCACCGTAGACGTAAAGCCGGCATTTCACTGTGATTTTTCACGTCCAGTTCCTGCTAACAACACGAAGCATGCCGACGGAGACGTATCAAGTGCGACGAGACCAAGCCCCGATGCAACAACTGTATCAAATCAAAGAGACAATGCGATGGCTACAATCAACGTGTCGTCTTCAAAGACCCCATGGGCACCTTTCAAGCCAACCACATGGGAAACCTCATCTTTCCGAACGCACCGCCCCACAGCATGCTTGTTAATCCACACATGGCCGGCTCGGCAAGACACATGGCACCCCAGGCCCAGGCACCACTTCCGTTCATCGCCCCAAGGCCGCCGATGGCGTCCGACATTCCTCCGGGTGGAATGCCGCATCACCTCCAGCATCACATGCATCAGCAGCCAATACAAATGCAGGGGCTTCCGCTCCATGCGGAACAACTTTACCACCAAGGGCAGCCGATACCATTACACCCTCATCAGGTGCCGTACATGCCACTGAGCCCGCAAAATCCTCATGTGGATCCAGCTGCCTTCCAACATCAAACATGGCAGCAACCACGCCAAGAGACAGTGAACCTCAACAGCTTCAACCAGCCACCTTTGATATCGCCTGTGGGCTATGAGTCAATTCCAACCACGGCCGAAGCGTCTACGGCACACGTTCCGATCAACCCGGCACAATGGCCCAGTGGAGACCATGTTACCGATGTCACTAGTATTCCTGTGTCCCATGAAGACGTTCGGACGTTTGTCAACGAGGAAGGGAAGCCAGCCAGGTTTATTTATGATGAAGAAACTGCGTACTGGTACCCCGACGATGACGCATCCATGGCGGCATCCGAAGACGAGGAAGGAGAGTCTGAGGACGAGGCGCAACACCTGGAATCCAACGACCTCGGTGCTATTGTTGCAAGGCGTTTGCACAATCGTCCAATTGATGCCTTTGGCACCCATATGCGAACGTTTTCAAACTTTGCAGACGCCAACGTACTGGCAACTTACATTCCATCTTCAATTAACTCGCCTCTCAATGACGCACAAACCGCTTCGGTTTTCTGGTACTTTGTCAACGTCACCGGTCCCAGCATGTCGCTTTTTGAACGCCGTCCAGTCGACCCAACGCCCATCTTTCAAGGCCAACCTGTGCCCCGGTCTCGACAGCACATCTGGACCTGTATGTCTCTCTCTGTTTATTTATTGGTTCGGCGCCATCTTTTTTCTCGAATCTTTTAAGTTACTAACTTGCTAGACACTTTCCCGATCATTGCTCTCAACCACCCTGCACTACTTCAGGCGATGCTTGCTCTTGGCAGTCTTCAGATGGCAAGACTCCAAGGCGCGCCGCATACGGCCTCGATGAAGCACTATCATTTGAGCTTGCGGAGAATCGCGCGGAACTGCGGGAGCCCATCTCGCCGCGTACAGCCCGCGACTTTGGCCGCCACAATGCTTCTTGGGTTCTATGAAGTATGGAACTCGGACCATGACAAGTGGTGCAAGCATCTGTGGGGTGCCCGTGCTATTTTGCGGGAGATCCCGATCAGAGATATGACAAAAAGGATCATTGCTCTGAAGCGACAACAGCGCCAATACCTAAACAACTCTAGTCCAGAAGCCGGCAAAGACGATTATGCAAACAAGATCGTTGCAGAGCGAGACATCGATCAAGTTGATACCGCTCTTGTTGCGCAACTCTCGGGGCGGCCGGTAGCCTACGACGACTCTACGCCACCAGCCCCTGTGTCTTCGGCAGCACCACTTTCGTGGAACGCTCCCCAGCACTACACCGAGAAGGATATCGAAACGTACGAGCTAATTGCAGATGTCTTCTGGTGGTATTGCAAGATGGATGTGTATCAGAGCATTCTCGGCGGCACACCTCTCTTGTGAGTTCTTACGGTCCCAGCGGCCTTACCTATGCGGTTCTTATGTCTCTAATAACGTCTCTTTGACAGAATGGAATACGGCTGTTGGACACAATGCACTCCTCGTGCCCCAATCAGCAAGATTGATGCGATGTATGTAATATATCGCTGCCAAACCTTATAACTATTGCTTTCTGCAATGTTCACTGTCACTAACCGAACAGATATGGAACGTACGATCATCTCATTCTCCTTCTCGGCCGGCTATGCAGCTTTGCTTCAAAAGACCAGTCCCGGAAACGAAAGATGATGCGGTCCGATGGCCTTGGTGGGGGTCAGGGCCAGTCGCCTCCCGGGTTTGTCGGCATGATGCCCTCCACAGGACACATCACAATCCCCAAGGGCTTCAGTCCTCCACGCGAGGTGTCGCCGCAAAGCGACAAACATGACGACGTCGACATCGAAGCGAGTACTGCTGCTGCCATGCGTGAATGGGAGGCCATCCGCCAAACATTTGAAGTCTTCCGGGCCCAACTCGGTCCAGGTTTTGAACCGCTCGGCCCCGAATTCGACACCCCCGTCAGCAGTCCGTTCGGTCCGGCTCTTAAATACCGAACTTACAGCATCGCCGGCATTTGGATGAACTATTACATGGGACTGATAGTTTTGCATCGCTGCTATCCCACGATGCCTCCTATTGCTATGGTCGCCGCAGGCATGGCCGCACAGCAAACCGCCCCTTTCGCTATCCAGATCGGCCGCATTGTGGCCGGTATTGGTGGCGAGGACATGGGTACCATGTCCAGCGTCAGCACACTTCTCGGATGCGTTTCTATCGAAAGCTCATTCCCGCTGTTTGTTGCCGCTGTTCAGTACCAAGATACCGCCCAAAGGCATTGGACGGTTAGGAGGATGCACAATGTTGCACGGTTGACGGGATGGCAGTCTGCTCGGCAGATTGCAAACGGCTGCGAGTCCGGCTGGGTCAAGGCCGCGAACTTGGGCCGTGGACCGCCCTACGAGTCTCCGCCAGATCTGGAAGTAGCTCCACTGTCGATCTGGAACCAGCCGAGACGGATCATCGACCGCGTTCGGGAACTCGAGGACGTGGAGGAGCGTTTGGTATTGTCTTCCTCTGAACGTCCGCACTACGCTGTCGGTCTGCTCAGTGTGGAAACAGATCTCGAAAGGTTGGATCTTAGCGACCACGAGTAGAACTCTGAAAGGACAACAAATACCCCTCCTATGGCCGTGTGCCAGAAGGGCTCTTTGGGGCTACTTCATATTTCATTGCTTAGGTCCCGCTCTCTATCTTTCTTACTTTTCTTTTTTTTTTTGAAATTGTTTTTCATAAATGCAGGTGTATATGGAGGATCACTGACGTCAGAAAAGGGTTTGGGATAATGTTTTGCGTCCTGTTGTTGGGATGACTGGGATGAAACGGATGCTGGGAATTTGGAGCTCGCATCACAAAAACGACAGTCAAATTACTCTAGATGTCTTCAACAGAGTATTGGAACGGGCTGTAGGCACAGTACGTAATAATCTACACATCACAATAAGCTAACAAAGGGCAAGTGAATCCTGGCTTTTGATGAGTTTCTACTAGCTGTATTCGTCACAAATCCATTCCGCTTGGTGCCTTCAGCCCCAGCAGCCTCAGGTCACCGTCGTTCCCCCAGCTTCTGCATGCCTTTAGTTTGCCGGTAGTCGCTCGACCACGGCGGCCATCTCCTCGTCCGTGTATAACCGGAAGCCCTTCTCTTTTGTGACACTGGCCAGCTGCACGTTCTTCTCGTCCAGCTTCTCCTCCATGACCTGCTTCAGCGTCTTGAGCACCAGTGTCTCGGCGTCCTCGAGGGTAAGAGACTACGCGGCAAGGTGGCAGGTTAGTACGGCGGGGCAGGCTGTGAAAGTGCAACATTGCAGAAACGGAGTGAGGCAAAACGCACCTTGTGGTACTGGTTCTGCAGCTCGGCCTGGGCACCCTCCGAGCCAGACCCGATGGCCTTGGCGTCGTAGCGGTAGAATGTGCCGCTGGGCTCGGCATGGTACAGCGCCGGGCCGCCCTCGTTGCCGTCGGGGCCGACGGTCGAGTCGTAGCCTGCAATCAGCAGGGCGACACCAAAGGGCCGGCTCATGATGCTGTCCTCGCCGTCCGCAGACTCGCCAAAGCGCAGGGCCAGGTCGCAAATGGCCTGCGTGCAGCTCTCGACGCTCAGCGGCTCGGCGTAGTTGAAGGCGTGGCTCTGGCACTCGACGCGCGCATGCTCGACCATGCTGCGGGCGTCGGCCTGCAGGCCCGACATGGCGCAGCCAATGTGGGTGTCGATCTCAACAATCTTCTCGACGGAGCTAACCTCCATGAGCGTCGACGTGACGCGCTTCTCGACACCGAGGACAACACCCTCGGAGGTGGCGACACCGATGGCTGTGCTGCCGAGCTTGATGGCCTCGAGCGAGTACTCGACCTGGAAAAGACGGCCTTCGGGGGAGAAGGTGCTGAGAAGGAGGGAAAGAAGGACGTTAGCAGTCGGAAGATGGGGTCTCGTGGGTGGGGAGGGGAGGCGCGAGAGAGGTGCGGTCAAGGTGCATCGTGGATAGCTCGTCATCGCAGTACGTACTTGATACCCCGGTCTAAATAAAGGACAAAGATGTTAGCAACATGGAGCGGACGGGGAGTCGAGAGAGGGCAGCCCCCCTCCCTTGAGGCGAGGCTGCAGATGGTGAAGACGCACCGTATTCGGATCGTGACATGAACATTTTGGCGATTGGTGTAACGAAACGGAGGGCCCTAGAGCGGCAATGGGAAGGGTAATTCTGATGCGAATGTCGTTAATGCTCGGTCGTCAAAGTGCGGCGGGCAGGACGCAGGTTGTCCGGTGGTGATGGTGCGTTTGAGATGTTGTGTCGATGCGATGCAAGACGAAATCGATTGGGACAGCTTCGCCGCCTATGAGGCGTCCAGGCAAGCAGACCGCCTACGCCAGCTTCTGGGAAGGCGGGCGGCTGGCCACCAAGCTCCAGCATTGGCGCTAGGAGAGGGCAGCTAAAAGTGGGTATTGAGACCGAATGAGGACTAGTGTATTTTGTCGCGCCAAGTCAGGGTCACGATTAGACGGTTGTCTTCGACTACAAGACAGAGATGGGACAGACGCTTTGCAACCGGAATCATACGTAGAAAATTAACTGCGTGTATATGTTGAAGTTGTGTTCGACAATGCACGGCCTCCAAGGGGCCGTGGCAATGACCTCGAAGCTTCTCATATGTAGAGGATTCGATTCGACACAAAAGAGACGTTGTGTTTTGTTGATTTGATTTGATTTATCTTTCAACTGCTGCGACACATTTCGATAATATTTATAGCCCAGAGAAGTCCAGCCATACCGATACCATCCATATCCATTATCATCATAGAAGAACCTGAATTGACTGTCGCAGTGTGTCATCCCGTAAGCCGCCAACTGTGGCCGCGTTTACGAGCAAACACTTTGTCGTTTCCGATGCGGGCCAGATTCGTAACCAAACAAAATGGACAAGTACCCGGCCCAGATTGAGCATGTTGCGCAAGCAGCCATTTTCCAGGACTGTCTTCTCGTACGCAGACTGCAGCGCATCAAACTGCACCCACTCCGTGCCCGCTCCATCATGCACATGGCCAAAGACGTGAAGCCGTGGGCGTACGCGCCAGATTGTCCGTAAGAGGTGCACACACCCGAGCTGTCGGTCAAGATGGGCGTGTGGTGGGGAATGTGTGATGAGAACATCGGTGCCTGGAATCGGAGGGGTCCGTTGAGCCCATACGTCATGCGCGCGGGGGTACTGGAAGGCCCAGTTTCCGTGACGCGGCGAGAGTGGGCTTCCGTATACGCGCAGCCGCCGGCCGTTGGGGCAGGTCACCGTTGTCTCGTCATTTTCGAGATACACAATGTCGCCCCAGTGGAGGGCGCGGTGCTGCCGTTCGTCCTCCTCCCGCTGGCCTCTGTTGGCTTCGTCGAGCAATACACCATGGCTTCCGGCGACGACAATCTTAACCGCGTGCGTTTGTCGGCGCAGCCAGGCCAGCGTTTCCTCGAGCTCGATGAACGAACCGGACTGGGTCAAATCGCCGGCGTGGATGAGCACATCGCCGTCGGGCAGTCGAGGCTGGTGGTTGTGCGTGTCAGAGATGCAAACGACGGACACAGCGTCTGCTGTGCGCTCTGGGGGCTGATGGAACGCCAGGAGAATAAAAGCCGAGCAACATAGACACACGGTTGTCGCAGGAACAACTGCCATTCACTGGGACGCGGCCGGTGCAGCAAGGAATCGAGACCTGACGCCATGACCGAAATAACTTGTGGTGATTATTTGCGGTGCAGGAAACGGAATAGCGTGACTGTTTTCGAAGTGCGAATTCTCGCTGTATTTGAAACTGGCATCTGTGGAAGCTGAAAAGCCAGGACTTGCGGTGAAGTGTAGTACTGCAACATATCATCACGATTCTCCTCTTGTTCTCCTCTCAGCCTGTTCAGATCTTCCTCTTTGGCTTACTGGATTAAAATAATGGGAAATATTACGTCTCCAAATCTTGCAGGTTTGGTTCTTCAACGAACATGATGATAGCCTTGTATGAGATGTTTCAGAGGCGCTAGCCACTTCTGGTAGTTGGTTTTGCTTATGTAATAAAACAAGCTGTCAACTCTTTTGGATGATGGTACGCGAGCTATTATTACACCCAAAACGCGCTTTCCTCTTTGACCCGCACCGCGACTCGACAGGTCCCCTCCTTCCGCCGTGACGCTTGACCGCACCCGGATTTATAGTTTTGATTCTCACCACTGAAGCATCTACAGTTCAATAATTCTTGCGGCCTCACTCTTAACACGATCCTTTCATAACCGCATGCGGAACAATACCAAACTCCGACTTTGACGACCATGTCGTCTACCGCCGCTCGGGCGCACAGCAACAACAGCAACGGTGCGGCCGTCAATGCCGGCGGGGCGGGCACGAAACTCCGCACGAGCCACTCGCCGGCAACGGCAACCAGCAACAACGCGGCGTACGGACACAACCAACAGATTCCCGGCGTGCACGACAATTTCCAGGGCAGCGAGCGGTCAGACACGCGCTATCGCGAGGGGCCTCCGCCACCGCCACCGCACCAGCACCAGCACCAACACCAGCACCAACAGCAATCACAACACACATACAGCACCACATCACACAAGCGGACGGCCTCGGGCAACCCACGGCCAAGTAGTCGAGCTGCGGGCACCGGTGGGCCAACCGGCGCGTCTGGGCTCGGTGCCGAAGCTGCGGCGAATCGGGCAGCAAGAGGCGGGACGCCGACGGGCAGCAGGACGAACGTCTCCGAAGAGCGGCGCACCGAACGGACCGTCATCACGACACGGGACACATATGTGACACGCGTCCGCAGCCCTGAACGGCCGGCCCCCGCGCGAGCGACAACAACGACGACAGCATCGAGGGACAAACCCGCATCCAGAAATGCCGTCGACACGCGAGCAAGGGACGTGCCCGCTCCAGCAGCGCCCACCGTGCCATGGAAGCCCGAGGTGACATTGCTACCCCACACGACAGCGCCACTTGCGTCGCGTGTTTCAATACCTCCTCTCGCGTCACAAGTACCTGCCACTTTGCAGCCAGCCGCGCTAGGCAGCCTGTCTCTCGAGGCGCAGGAGGCTGTCATCATAGAGGACCTGTTGTCCGTGTTCATGGGCTGCGAAGGCCAGTATATTCGCTTTGCCAAGGGCTACGTCCCCGACGAAGAGCGCGACCGGCTCACAGGACCGACATGGCGTATTCTGCCCGGTCTCGATCCCAGCCTGCAGGATCTGGCGGCATCGATGCTACGGACAGCCACCCACTATGTGGCGCTAGAGACGTTCGTCGACGTGCAGAGCCGTGAGTCGTTTGGGCTTGTCAACCATGCGCTGTGTGCATCGGTGCGCAAGTTCCTGCAAGACTACCTGGTGCTGATTGCGCAGCTCGAAACGCAGTTCCTCACCGATGACGCCTTTACCCTGCATGTGCTCAATATCCATATGCTGCCGACCAGCCAGATGATGCTGCAGTTGTATGCGCTGGCACACGAGCTCCTCAAGAAGAATGCATTGTTAGACGACGATGAGACGGACGAGTCGAGCGACGACGGTGTTGACGATTACGACAAGATCATCGACCGGCTGCGCGAGGGCGGCGAGCTCGTGCCCGGCAATGCGGCCGGCAAAAAGATCTGCAAGGGCGGTGCGGTGCTGGAGATTATCACGAACCGGCTGGAGTCCATGTCGGGCGACCCGGCGGCGCGGGCGCTACTGACAGCACTGCTACGAGACGCCAGCCGGCCGTACATGGTGATGCTCAACGAGTGGCTGCACCACGGCGGCATCAGCGATCCGCACGCCGAATTTCTCGTTAAGGAACAAAAGAGCATCCGCCGCGAACTTCTCAAGGAGGACTACACCGACGAATACTGGGACCGGCGTTACACCCTGCGGGACAAGGACGTGCCGCCGCAGCTTGCCGGCGTCAAGGACAAGGTGCTGCTTGCGGGCAAGTACCTCAACGTGGTTCGCGAGTGTGGCGGTGTCGACATTAGCAAGAAGGTCATGGACGTCCCGACATCGTTTGACGACAGCCGGTTCCTCGACAACATCAACACGGCTTACGCACACGCCAACGCATCGTTGATGCAACTGCTGCTGACAACTCATGCGCTGCCCGCGAGATTGCGGTCGCTCAAGCACTACTTTTTCTTGGACCCCTCCGACTACTTCTCGTATTTTTTGGAACTTGGCCACTCTGAGCTACGTAAGCGCAACACCAAGGCTATTAACACCAGCAAACTGCAGTCGCTGCTCGATTTGGTGCTACGGCAGCCTGGCAGCATCGTGTCTCTAGACCCATTCAAGGAGGATGTCAAAGTGGAGATGATCGACACGACACTCGTCCAAGCCCTGCAGCGCGTCGTAAACATCACGGGCATCGAGCAGGGGGAGGTGCTGCAGCCGTCTATGCTGGCGGGCGGCGGTAACGACGGCGCCAGCACGGCCGGCGGCAGCAGCAGCGGTGACGCTGACGGCTACGCGTCACTGCGGCTCGACTACGCCATGCCCTTCCCCGTGTCGCTCGTCATTAGCCGCAAGACCATTTGGCGGTACCAGGCGCTTTTCCGGTTCCTGCTGTCGCTGCACCACCTGGAGTCGCAACTGACGACAACTTGGCAGGGCCACATGCGTGACCTGCCCTGGTTCCACCGGTCCATGAGCAAGGAGGTGGCCGTCTGGAAGCGGCGGCTGTTTACGCTGCGGGCGCGCATGCTGGTGTTTGTGCAGCAGCTGCTGTACTTTTGCACGGCTGAGGTGATTGAGCCCAACTGGCAAGCGCTCATGTCGCGGCTACAGACGGAAGAAACTGCCACAGCGGCTGCGGCTGCGGCGGCGGCGGCAGCCAACAACAATCACGCAACGACAAACGAGAATCCCGCAGACGCCGCTGCTCCGGTTCCCCTACCGAGCCGAACCGTCGATGAGCTGATGCAAGACCACGTGGACTTTCTCGATACATGCCTCAAGGAGTGCATGTTGACCAACAGCAAGCTGCTCAAGGTACGCCGCCTTTCATTGCCCTTTTTGTCTATCTTGGCTGTCTGACTGACCATACAGATTCACGCAAAACTCATGCAGACCTGCTCCTCGTTTGTCAGCTTCGCCAGCTTCCTTACACGCACCATGGACCGCATCGATCCGGATCTCGCCACCACAGCGACCCGGCCCAAGGATGCCACCGCTGAGCAGTGGAAGACATTCCAACAGAGTGTTCAGAGCGCCCGGCCGGCTAGCGACCCCAACAGCAGCACAACCACCAACAATGCAGCAACGGACTCGGCCCCCACGGACGAAGAGATGCGCAGCCTTGTCGACCGCCTGGGTAAATATGAGCACCTTTTTGGCCGAAACTTGCAAGTGCTCTTGGACGCTCTCAACCACTATGCCGCGACAGAGACGGTGGTCCTGCTGAGTTTGTGCGCGCGACTGAGCACTGCCAACCAGGGGACCGAGTACGCCGGACTACGGCACGAAGAGGACTTGGCCGTGTAATGGTTCTCTCTGATATCCCAACAGCTACTTGCGTCTTGGAATGGAACATGCGTATATGCTTTCTCGTGTCTCCCATATTCCTTTTTTATTTCATGTTAGAAATGACGATATGCCATTAATGCAATGCCCCCGACAATAGGCTCATGTTGGTGGTGGTTGAAAGTATCCAATTTGCTGTAAAAACAGTGTGTGGCGACAGTGTGCATACTCTGCACGGTATAACAGTTACTGAAATTGCGCTGTAATATGTTGTAGAATAGTAAGGGCGACCGCCTAAGGCAAGGGGCGAGCAAACCTCGGCCCCTAGAACCACCGACCCATTTCCTTACCAAAGAGGCTTCAAGGCAGCAAGTCACAGCGTGTCCTCAGCGGATAGCCGGATGCCTACGGGGCTCAGTAAGGCAAGAGAAGACAGGCCAACAAAGCAAGACCCAGGCTCCCAGGCCCAAGTTTTAAGCCAATCAGTGACTAGCACGAACACGGTCCCATTGGGAAGGAAGCTCTCACGTCCCGTAGTCGCGCCTTCTCCCCAAATCTCCAAAGTCTGTGACGACAGGTCCAAGCCCAAAAACTAGAAACGAATATCACAAGTCCACCCAACAATCAGGAACTTTGTGCTTCGAGACGAAGGCACTGTCGACGATCTCTTTCAACAACGCACTCTCCGGTGTCGATTTCCTTCCATTTCACCTATTGCAAGCATTCCCAGCGCATTCAGTTTGCGTTGGCGTCTGGCCTGCCGTCTCTCTGCTGCCCCCCTGACGATAAAATTTACGATCCCCTTTTCTTTTCTCGATCCTTTTCTTGCCATTCTGGTATTGTCTTGCCGCTACGGTTGATGCTTCACGACTGTCACGTTGCGTAGGGCTATCTCGATTCGGAATTGACATCCCTTCGACATCCCTTTCTACTCGTCTCTGAATCCCGTATACTCCGTACCTTGTCTCCGACGATGAACTGGTGAGCCACGCCCAACGGACATCAGATACAACCAGCTGGGACGGCACGCGGTCCGTCCAAGACGATCTACAATGCCCAAGGCACGCCCAGCTACCACGGGCTACGAACGCCTTGCTCAGGCTGACCGGTTTTCCGACGACTCCGACGACGATGAAGGCGCCGGCGCAGCCACCTTCGCTTCGCTGCAATCATCCGCTGCTGCCGCCGCTCTTTCCGGAACCTCGGGAGCAAACCCTCGCTATGCGTCCATTGTCGGCGGGCAACAACCGAGGCCCCATGGCGGTATGAGTACAGGCGGCCACGACCGGCGGGCATCGTACCAGCAAAATAACTACCGCCGGCGACGCACCAACTCCGGCGTCGACCTCAAGGCAATCAACGCGCGCCTCGAGCGGTGGGCCGATGAGATTGCCAACAAGTTCAAGCGCCACCAGAAGAAGCGAGGACAAGAAGACGAGGGCCGCCTCGAAATCCACTACTCTGTGTTCCAGGCTCCCGAGGGCGTGCGGCCAGCAACAGCCGAGACACTGGCACGGACAGCGGCCGGCGCACCCGACGCAACAAACGTTCCATCCTCTGTCATTACCGAAGCTGAGTTCGAGTCCATTGTCGACAGCGTGCGGACCGCCATCCGTGAAGGCACGCACCCCCGCATGATTTCGCAAGGCAGCTCTGGCAGCTACTTCGCGCGCAACCCAGAGGGCAAGGTGGTCGGTGTCTTCAAGCCCAAGGACGAGGAGCCGTATGCTGCTGGCAACCCCAAATGGAACAAGTGGATTCACCGGAACCTGTTTCCCTGCTGTTTCGGACGAGCCTGGTGTGTTTGACCTCGGCGCGTCTTGTGCTACAATTCCCTTCTTCCGTATTCATGTTACTAATGCTCTCCTGCACATAGCCTCATTCCCAACCTTTCCTACGTCAGCGAGGCCGCCGCCTACGTCCTCGACAACCAGCTACGCACCTACATGGTGCCTTATACCGACGTCGTCTACCTCTCGTCCAAGTCCTTCCACTATCCCTTCTGGGACCGATACTCCCACTCGCGCAACCGGAAACCACTACCGGCCAAGCCTGGCAGCTTCCAAGTTTTCCTCAAAGGCTTCAAAGACGCCAATATCTTCCTCCGCGAAAATCCTTGGCCGGACCAATACCTGTCTGGCTTTCGCACGAGCGATCGCCACCGCAACGGCCGCACCGGTCGTTGGGCCGACAACTGCCGGCCAGGCTCTAGGCGTACCTCCAAAACGCCAAATGGATCGAACCTGAGGAGCAGGAGCTCTGGCGGTGCTGGCGGTGACCTAGGTGACGAGACGAATTACAGCGACTACGACGAGAACGAGGATGCCAGCGCAGCATCAACGCCGGGGCCCGATAACTTTGTGTGGACCGAAACCCTGAAACAGTCTTTCCGCGAAGAACTGGAGAAGCTTGTCATTCTTGATTACATTATGCGCAACACGGACCGTGGCCTCGATAACTGGATGATCAAGGTCGACTGGCCGAGCCAAGAAGTGTCAATCACCTCGGAGCCCATGCACCTCAACATGGACGGCGCCAGCGGCAGTGCTAACGGCAGTCCTGGCTCCGAGGCCCCGCGTCCCGTCGACCTCTCTCAACGACCGGCCCATAGCAACCGTGCCCGGGCGCCCTACCGCGCTCAGAAACCGATGGAGGCCTCCACACCACCCGCCAGCAGCACTCTGCAGCCCAACATCCACATTGGAGCCATCGATAACTCGCTGTCCTGGCCTTGGAAGCATCCGGATGCCTGGCGCAGTTTCCCCTTTGGCTGGCTCTTTTTGCCCGTGGACCTCATCGGCCGGCCCTTCTCGCAAAGGACGCGCGATCATTTCTTGCCGCTTCTGACGTCGCCGGCTTGGTGGTCGCAGACCCAGCTTGCCCTCCGCCGCGTCTTCCAGATGGACCCCGATTTCCAGGAACGCATGTTTGCTCGCCAGATTGCCGTCATGAAGGGCCAGGCTTGGAACGTTGTCGAGACTCTCAAGACGCCCGACCACGGCCCCCTCGAGCTGACACGGCGGGCCAAGGTCTGCGTCTGGGACGACTTGGTCGAAGTGCCGATTGCCGTTCCTATGCGTGCCACCAGCTCTGAGATCCGCCGCCGTAACGAGTTTGAGCTATCCCGGGCCATGGACGAAGAAATGGACATTGGCGCCATCGGAGGCGTTGACGGCAACGGCGATGGCCGTCGCGGCGGAAAGAAACCTGCCACGACCACCATGACCAGCAGCGACTCGTATTTTGACAACGTGGAAGGAACCAACGACCCAGAGGATTTGCTCGTCAGCGCCACATCTCCGCTACCCAATCCGGGCCGCTTTGAGCTGACCAAGGAGTTGGTCGCCGAGGAAGACGAGTCTGGCGAGGGTGCTGCTGGCGAATCGTCGAACATGAATGACGCCAACTCACCTCCGGCGCCGTCGCCCGCGTCCTCGCAACTGCTATCCGTCGAGTCGCCTAATGCCCGCGGCGGCAGCCGGCGAAACCTGTCGTCTGCCGCTGCCAGTGCCGCGGCCCAGCGGCAAAAGATGCCCCCCCAGCACCAGCGCCGGTACAGCTATACGACAGCAGCCTCGCGGCGGAATAGCAACACCATTGCACAGCAGCTGTACGGTGAGCGGCACGGTGCCGCGGCAGGCGGTAGCGGGAGCAACTCCATGTCGTCCTCCATGCTCCTGCCGCACCACCCGCCCCGCCACCACCGGGCGGCTTCGCTGGACAACTACTTTTACGACGACCGGGCCGGTGACGAGGACATCGAGGGCGACCTAGGCTATGCAGCGGCCGAGGGCATGGAGAACAACCGCCGGCGCGTGATTGTAGAGCGTCTTGAGCCGGTGAAGACCAAGAACCCGGTGTTTACATGGTGTTGATGTAATGCAAGTGTTCGCATCTCATTCGACGGTGTCTTTGTTTTTTTTTGTTTTTTCGTGTTTCCTTTTCGACAAAGATGTAGATTGTCCTGTATTTTCCTAGGGTCTTTCAGCACCAGCGCGACTTTATTATATTATGAGATCATTAGACGGATTATTGTACTGTACTCAAATGTCACTGTTTTCTGTTTGTCTTTTTTTCCCATGTACCCCGTCCCACGTTTTCACCGAAGGATCTAGAGTTTCTCCTGTATTTCTTCTTCCCATCGGTATTCGAATTCGTTTCTTCTGATGTATTGATGATTCCAAACTTCACTCGAAAGTCATAGAAGGGAGTTACAGTTAGGCTACTCGGCTTTCTATGTGCAGTTCAGGTTCAAGCAGGATGGTAACAATGTGTATCCGCTACAGGGAAACTTGTATCATAAATTAATGAATACATAAAAACTGAAAGCAATTTTAGAAGTACGAAACAAATATTAAAAAAGCAAAGTTTAAATTACCACTAACACCAATATAGTACTGACAGTTGCCTTTTCAAGGGAAGAGGGAGGGCAGCACCATATACCATGTCGTTGGCATTATACCCAACCACGGAATGGCAGCATCAGGAATACTACATTGTTGTCTGTTCTTGGTGGCCCTTCTCCCCAAACAGGGGCTTGTTCTTTACACGTAAAATCGTGTGGTGTATTCCAACCAGACGGGACGGCTCAGGCGGCAGCGCAAGACGTAGAGACAGGAATGGGAATGGAGGGCAAGAATCTACGACGTACGACGCGGCCTCGGCATTCTGACAGACGACTTTACGACGGAGGGAATGTGGACCAGATGAAGTTGGCGGGGCAAGTGTATCTGCGAGGACGGGTGAGCGGGATAATGTTATTTCACAAGAAGGAAATGTGGATGTGGCTTGACAGCTGGCAGACCTCTCCAGACAACAGAAGAAGTCGGAGAAGGACGTGGGATGGCCGCTACTCTTCCGTATGTTGTTCTGTGGAAGCCAAAACGAGAGGCTGGATTGGCCCAGCCGGTGTCTGAAGGGAAAGTCTGGGTGCATAGAAACGACGTATCGTTTTCTGTTGTCTCGTCTCCCACTCTCAGACTCGAAAAGAGAGCTAGCTGGGCGTGTACAGTGGCGAGTGGAAAAGAACTGGTCCGACGGAGTAGCGGAAACCAAGGATCATAGTAAAGGACCCATGCCAATGGGGCCTGAGAGCTGCGGGAATCAGAGAGAAACAAGAAACAAAACGCAGGAGCAGGGGGAGGGGGGGGGAGCCCCTAGAAAGAAAACAAGAAAGAAAGAGAGAAAAAAGAAAAAAGAAACCCATTTTATCTAGGAAGTGGTGGTCGGATTTCAGCATTCACCGACGTCGGCGAGCAGGCAATGGCTGACCACCTCTGTACATCGTACAACCGCAGACAATGGAAGACAATAGTTTCATCTCCCCTTCGAGACGAAAGCAGCTCTGGCTGGTCGGCGGTTGGTGGCTTGCATTTCTGTTCCTTTGCCTCTCGGTGCTATGCTCTTGCTCGTTTCGTCTTGTTTCCTCCGCGAAGGTAACCCACCACACCACAATGGTTATTCGCCTCCCGGCCTCCCACACCAACGCGGAAGATCAACGTTTTGGGGAGGGGCTTTCTTGGGCTGTCTGGCTGTGTCCTGGAACGCGATACTTATGCCTGCAACGGGAAGCTGGTCGGCTGTAGAGTAGAAGAAGGAATCAAAGAAACTGTAAAAAGTTCGTGTGTCTGTCAAACAAGAGAGGGTGTGGGAGGGGCAGTTTTCTCATAGACCAAGGGGACAGGCTATACCACCCATCCCAACCTTTCGTGTTGTCACTTTTCACTCTGTCTGGCTTCTTTGGGGTGGAAGGTGGTTGTGTTCCTGTGCTTTTTCTTCTTCGATTTCCGGCGCGGTGAAAATGGAGGGTGGGTTGAAACCAACCAGTCTATCGGGTCGGAAGCAACCCACCCTCCTCCTCTAACCCGAGACAGCGCATGCACAGAGCAGAAACTTCCCGCCCTTCCCGCCGGCCTTTACATTTCTATGTGTCGAGTGACGTGTAGTACGTCGGCCTGTACGATACATGTATGCCATACCCTGGACCTGCTTCGTTGTTGGGCGTGCTGCGTCTTGTGTGGCTAGATGGCTAGAAAGCTGGGAAACATTCTGACCGAGTTCGTCGAGGTGTACTCTGCATTACTCGTGCTTGTCGTCCGTAGAGTTCTGGTGGGCGGTTGAACGGGACTGCAAGGATATGGTTTGTGGCTGCTACTTTCCAGCTCAAGAAGAGACGAAGTATTCGGAGATGGGCTCCATCCTTCTTCATGCCTTCCACATTTGCGCCTGTTCTATAGGGAGCGTCCCCCATGATACGACTCAATGTTAGCGTTTCGGTATCTGAGAGGACCTCTTCGTCGAAGGAATAGCATGGACATGAGGGAGCTTGTCAGCGCATCAAGGCCGCTCTGTGTCGAAATACGAAGGGAGTACCGAGTACTCCGTAGTTTGCAAAAGACGGTATTCTGCAGATTCAAATTAAATCAAGTTTCGGTTCGGAGTACTCTGTACGTTTCCAGCATGTGCGGGAACGAAAACGCTGATAATTCAAAATTTCAAATCCAACAAATGTGACAAGTGACGAGGGCCAAGACATGACAAAGGCCGACACGAGCCAGTCAACCACTGTGCAGTGGTGCTCCATGGGACAGGACAGGTGCAATGCTTTGTAGGACTCCCGACAAGGCAATACGGGTGCAGGCGAGATGCCATGTAGCACCGTGTCTCCTGAACCCACTGGGCCGGGTACTGTCTGTGCAGTGCATGGCGAAGGTGCCTCTCAATATGCAGGGTTGGCTGTATCCGTTGCATGGAGCAATGCTCAGTACAGCGAATGCCGTTGGCAGTGTCCCTATCGTCCCACGCAGTCCCAATTTGCTTTGGTGTGTCCGGGGTCTTGCTTTTTGTTTCTTTGCGTCGGCAGCTGGCCCGAGGACCATCACTCACCGCCCTCAGCGGCTAAGTTTTTGGGCCCCTTGTCACCACCCTGGCACTCGCGCAAATAATTCCTGTATAAGGATACGACTATCTGCATGCGGAACACCGGGACGATGCAGGAATGGGCCAGGCAAGGGCTGCATATCCAGGTGGATGCTGCTTATGGGCGGAGGAGAACACGAAGTAGACTTACTCGTAGTACGTACACATTCTCTGCCGAGACTGCTAGAGAAACTAAGTTGGGATTCGGTACGGAGACATTGTTTGATGTCGTTGCACCTCTGTGGCTTGCTATCAAGGGCTTTTATGTGTAGATTGACTGTTGAGAATGCTGAGGCTGCTTCAGGTTAGCCTAGCGGGAGAAAGGAAGAGAATGGAAAGGGATGTACTAAAGTCCGTGACTTGGTTGACGCACATGATTACGTTAGTAGAACAGGAGAGAAGACGAGAAAGTCGTAAGGAATGGAGGCTGGGAAACATATAAACAAGGGAAAAGGCAAAAGATATCGCTCCCAGGTGCCTGAAACACGAACCTTTGGTGTCACCCCGGCTGCGTTGTCAGAGATAGACGAATGTTTCGTATGAGCAACTAAGATCGCAATGGACAACTCGTCGCATTCAAGAGCCTTGTTGCGTGGGATTTGGTTTCCGTGTTGGGGTCGTATGTGGCGCTGGCGAGCATATCGTGCAGATGCTATGAAATATCATGAACCGGGTTCAGAAATATGTGACAAAGTCAAGCAACTGTACTCCGTAGGACAGATTGTATTTTTTAAGACGGCCGGAGGAAATGTACCACGATAAGAAGCCCTTTTCTGTTATGTAAAAAATAAAAACAGCTGTCGATTAGGGGGCCACGACGAATAGAAACCGACTTACAACGTATATTCCGGCATCATGCAGCTCAAATTACACATAATTTCTTGAGCCAAGAGCCGTAAAGTGATGTTCCGAGTCCAGGAATGCTGTCGACGCCTACAAAAGACGATAGTTTGTGTGTATTTGCGAGGTCGTTTGCTCGCGTGAGACATCGTGCCTTTGTTGTTGATGAGGTGGTGGTACTTTGCAAGGCTCTGGTACAAATTAAACCGATGTACATCCACGAAAAGGCCCGAAATGGGCCATCATCGACGAAAGCTCCACATGCATCCGTGCTTAATTCGCACGTAAACCACAAAATATTGAGGCGTTCATGACATGCATGTAAGCTTCGTGTGTCGTCGCTTCTCACAGACATACTGTGCATCGTTAGCAAACAAAGCAATCAGGTGCCCGAGACACAGCGTTAGCAAATGAGATATAAATGCGATGTTTTACGAGTAGCTGCCCACCGTGTTCGTACTTGTATTACGTCGCAATGTACGGAGTCCACCGTGTTGTCCAAGGGTCCGGCAGAATATCATTATTGCATTGTGATTGCGTCTGCAGTCGGCGGTCCCGGGGATGTGGACAAGCTGGTCAGGGGGACCAAAGTGACTGGGGGCGGCCATTACCTCGTTCAATGTCATTGTCTTGCTTTTGGCCTGTTTCAACTTTAGCTTTGTTGTATTGAAAGGCCCATCTTGTGGACCAATGGCTTTGGACGTAAGCCCAAAAGCGTGAAGCGAATCGCGGAGAGATGTTTCCAGAGTCTCCTGAACCCTGTCGTGAATTGTGGTCCCCCCCCTTGCACGATAGCCCCCAACGGGAAGTTAAAATTACGACACTGCAGACAAAATGATCAGCAAGGAAACCCGAGAACAGCGGGAGAAGGCTGAGAGAAGAATCAAGGCGGGGGCGACAGGTAGGGGCATGCCCCCGTATCACGTACATAGAGAGAATAGACTTTAACTTATGTGTGAGTTAGGGGTGCCTTATTCCCGTGGTCTTCGCATTTTCAGCGTCCCACTGTCATTTTTCTTAGATCTCACGTACCATGTTCAAGAAACACGTCATGCGTGCACGTCGCACTGGAGCTTTTAAGCTGCGGCTGGCTTCAACTGAACCAATCCGTGTGAGA